CCATTTTTATTTAATATGGTGATTACTAATATGCAAGTAAGTGAAATTGTGAATGCAAATTGGATTATTGCATTAGAATTTTTACTCAGACAACATAATTGTTATTCTTATTTAGTATTACATTTTCATCATAACCGGGCCCCCGTTCTTTTTTTCATTTAATTTTTGTAATAATACAAAATTTATCACCATTTTTGACTGGGATGTTCAAGTTACAGAACGTTTTTATTTCACTGACCTGCTTGACACTTTATCAGTGAACATTTAATTTGGCGGATGCTTTTATCCAAAGCGACTTACAATAATTCAGCCGTGAGGATACGGCCCCGGATCAAGAGTAACAAGAAAGCCAAACTAAAAAGTGCTGGAAGTAAGTGCCATCATCAATGCTACTTAAGTGCCATCTATTCAAGGTAAACACACCATATACAGGATAGTGGCAGTGCATTGCATGTGAGGAGATACATAGTTCCTGAGCTTCCTCTATAGAAAATGCTGTTCTGTCAACCTGAGTTGTATTTATTGTTGTTTTTTAGTATACAAAGCATGGCTGTTTGACTAATACATGCAAAAGAGTGCTCATAAACATAAAACAGCCAATCATTACAAGCACAAACAACCCAGGATTCAGCTGACAATATTTTAATTTGGGTTGAGCTTCTGAAATCACAGAGGATTTCAAGGGGAACAAGGTGACGCCTCATCTCCAGTCTCAATAGACATCGATGGAATCAACCATGGACCCCTAACTATTGATTTGAGACCAATCAAAATTAATTGGTTACAATTGCTGATGATCAAGTCGTTGTTGAGCATAATGTGCTAAAGTTCGGTACAAACTGTTATGAACCGACGGTGCAGCTGCAGCTCTGCAAAATGAACGCACAAACTTCATAGCTGCTGACAGGGCGCTCCAGCGCTTTCTCGCCATTTAACACTGAATAATGAGCAGGAGCAAAGATTTGCTCTAATTTGCTGGAACTGCTTACCAACAAAAAGACAAAAGTTCCTGCTTATAGAACATGTGGCCTATTTTCAGATGGAGTTTTAAAAGCCCTGGATGTGGAACATCCAGCAGGAGAGCAGCTAGTGGAAAATACATTATGAGTCCCGAGTGAACTCCCCTGTGCTTCTCTTCCAGCAACACTGTAATCTGAACCATGTGAGACAAAGGAGCGCTCCATTCACGTGTGTGTGCATGAAGTTCTTCCAAGAATAAGCAATCAACTGCAGCAATACTTAAATAAACTTTAAGAGAAATAACAGTTTAGGGGGCCAAGTAAACCATATAATATGTCAAATGTAACGGCCAATTATTTGACTTTGCTTTGCACATACATGTAAATAGAGAAATCTCTATTTCAATTCAATTCATTTTATTTTGTATAAAAATCGCAAATTACAAATTTGCCTCAGAGGGCTTTACAGTCTGTACACATACGACATCCTCTGTCCCGAAACCCACACATCGACACAGGAAAAACTCCCCCCCAAAAAAAACCTTCCAAGAGGGGAAAAAAAGGTCGGTTGGATTCAGTCGTAGCTTATTCAATCAGCTTGGAATGAGAAGTGCACACGCTGGGTATAAACTGACCAACATAATCTGATTGTTACTGAAATGTAATTTAAAGTATTGCGTCAGATCAGAAAACTATCGCTTTAAGATCATTTTAGCTCAGTCAGCTATGCAGCTTTTAATACGCATCATGCACTAAAGGGGGGCAAATACTAAGAAACATCTATCTTTTACATTAAAAGTACTTCATGTAGAGCAGCACATCTCAATTTAATGATGATAACATACACGTTTTGTGAAATACTCACACAAGACTGTCTGGCACTAACAAATACGTCACGGTCAAAGTCACTTAAATTCCCTTTCTTCCCTATTTTGAATCTCGGTTCGAACTTCAGAGAGTCATTTAACCCACATATAGGTACCTAAATGCATTGCGTTGCTGTCATGTGATCGGCTGATTGGCTACTTGTGCCAACAAGCAACTGAACAAGCTCGCCTAAGCGGCCTGTGAATGTGTGTTCACTTAGATGAGTTTTATATTAGGCTGTGTTTCAGCTGGTTCATTACAAAGTCAAACATTGTAGACTATGGAAGTACTTTTCTCTTCATGCATGATAAGGTCCCCAAATGGCAATAAAGTTGACCAAACAGACCTAAACAGCGAATCTGGCATCAAGTATCGAATCGTTGGTCAAATTACAACTTGCATTCAGTCCCCCAGCAGTTTTTATTTTTTCTTCTTTCCTCTGATCCACAGACTCAAAGTGAGTAACAGGACAAAATGTTATGCACCACGAGCACAACGCAGATGGCCGTGAGCTCCGCTTGAGCCGCCACTCATTGCTAACTCACAGGTTAGCAAGCCAACAGAGTCAAAGAAATCTGTCACAGTACACCAGACCCTGCTGCCTAAAGTCTGACTGCTCCATGTGGTGGATGTTACAAAGTCTCAGCAACTGGGATCATAATAATACGCTGAGTAAAATCTAATTATGCTCAAATTATTCTGTTGGAACATTATATATTAATCATATCAGTCAGGTTTAAGGTTTTTTAGATTACATGTCATTTAGCTGACGCTTTTATCCAAATAAACTTACAATAAGATTGTTTGGTGTAGGAGTGCTTCATGCTTAATTCTACACCCTTCCTGCAGTTGTTTTATGGCATATGTGGGAATATTTATGTGTGCTGCATGTCAAAAACAGACAAAATAGGCATTCAGTCACTTTGCACACGGATGAGGATTGTACGCTGCAGGCCCCAGAGATGTACCAGTCACACACAGACACATTTAGCTGTTGCCGTTTGTCAGTTAAATTGGTGTGAACACTGGAAACGACAGGCGGATGAAAGAAAAGCCTGCACATTTTAGAACGTTGTCAAATAATCCAAATCATGCTTTAAGCAAATTTACCATTTAAAATGCAGAACAGTTGCTGCTGCTATTTTCCATTTCTGAGTCCTTCTTGGAGATGGTCTTTTGATTGCTGCTCTGTTTTGGTCCAGACTGAACTGCAGGCTGGATTTTTGAATTTCCCCAAATGAGGATCGCTAATAACTACGGTGATCCCTGACTTTACTTTTGGCGTCCCCAATAGGTCAACATTTTCACTTATTCAGCAAAACATATATATGCACACATATACACTGATGAATTGGCAAATAAAGTCGTACAGCAGCTTCTCTGGAAGATATTTGGTGATCGGTGACTGCTTTTTCATATAAGATACCCTCAATAACAGTGATCCGAATCACAGATGAACTGTAATTCGGATCACTATGAAGTTAATTCCATGTAGTAACTTTATCAACCTCCTGCCGACATTTCCAGAAATCAAGGACACAGAAGTTGGCATAAAACCTTCAAGGTACAAACGATGAAAAGGGAAATTACACACGATCAAAACGTTTTTTCTAGAATGCTCTGAAGCATCGCAGAAGGGAGCTCTAGTGAAAAGAGGGTGATATTTTCCTTTCATTACCTCAGGCCCCGTTATAATCTGAGAAGCCCGGAAAAGGGAGGTAAACCAGTGTTTCTCATTCTGCCGTCCTTTGATGCTTTCTGCAAGTCACAGATAATCATTTATCAGCTAAGAAGAGCTCTACGGTTTGACTCAGTATGTGAAGCTCAGCGTTTATCTGCATGGCCCAGCAGATCGTGACTGTAAATAATGTGTTCTTTCTCTCTACCTTTAAAAGGATCAGCTTGGAGAACGTTCACTGACCTAACTTTGCCGCCTACACTGACAACTAGCCAGCAGACAATTTAGCCAAGAAAGAGGGATCTTAATCCCCAGAACTATGCACCTGAAACCGTTGCCATTGCTCTCATTTCCTGACTGCATACGTCTCCTCATCATGTGAACATGTTGCTCATTTCAGATCCACAAGGCAGCACGGCTGAGCCCTATTAATAATTACACCGGTGATGATGATGGTGGTGACGTTTGAGCCACGGCCTCGTTTCAGTCCCGACCTGGCACACGGTGGCAGGTTCTCAATCTGTGGCCATGAAATGTCACATTAACACAAACAGTTTTTATCTACGACAACGATGCCACTCTGCGCCCTTTGACCCGCCATCGTGTGAGGAAATCAAACATACACATACACATGCTTAAGTGTTTACATGGATGTTGTGAACTGAAATAATTGAAATTGTTGGTGAATTTAATCTGTTTCGATAAAGGCCAAACAAAGGCCACATCTGTGTAATTGTGATTTATAGGAGGATCTGAATGTGTAATCTGATCAAAAGTGCAGATAATGAACTGAAAAACACAAAATGTGTGTGAGTCACCTTATGTTGTCATTTCACAGCTCCTCTGCATTTCATTAAAACACGTGCAAATGACATGCACACATGCATATTTCTTTGGCATTTTCATCCAAATACAAAGATAGACTCACTGACTATATTCCGAATAATTGAGAAGAATCGGGAAAATATCAGGAAGGAGATTAACTTGATTGGTACCAAACAGCCACTAAACATGTGAGGATGATTTCAGTGCAGCCAACATCCAAATGATGCTGTCTGCTCTCTGTTCTTTGCCATTTTCAATTTTAGTCAATTATTCACACAATAAACGAACATGCACTGACTAGCAATGAAGCCTGAAGCCTCCATCTGCTTTTCGAAATGCACCCAAAGGGAACCGAACGCCTAAATAAAAAGTTACCTTCCCATTTCTAACGGGACCGATGCATTTTTTCCCCCTGTAAAATGTAGAAATTGAGTTCACCATAATGAACTAAGACGTCTAAAAACGTCTATTCAAAGCTATTTCCAAAGCCGTGTTTTTGGTGCTTTGTGCCGGGGTGATGCCGGCTCTTTGTTCGAGGCGCACCGTCTAGGAGGAGCTTTGGTGATTCAAATCAAATCCCCCCCCTCTCCTCTTGTTCCCATGTGCGCCGCACTTTACTGCTTCATGGGTTGGGCCGATAAAGCTCTGTGGATCACGTGATCACAGAGCTGGTAGGAGCGACTCTTCATAAGTGGGAAGCCTGAGAGAAGAAGACCGGAGAGACGATGGAGGCAGCGGCAGCAGCAGCAGCTGCAGCCTGTTTCCACGGAGCAAGAGCGCGCTCCAAGACGCACACACAGACATCTGATTAACTTTTATGTTTGTTTGAAAATAAACTGATGATCATGGTAATAATCATGCTTTTGAATTTAAACTCATGCACGGTGGAGGTCTCCACTTTCATGTAAGATCTGAGTTGGTCGGATGATGCGTTCCTGGATTGGATTAACGCGCGGTGGTTAAGGGCGATTCTGCGCACTTGGAAAATTATGTAAGGTAAAAAACACTTTTCCTCTTTAAATTGTTTGGCTTCGGGTCTTGATGTTGTTTTCAATCTGTTTGATGATACTCTATATGATTTGTGTTGTTTATATTAAGTATAAACTGTTTTTTAATCCTTTTTTTGGTATTATTTCTGAACTAATTTAACACAATGACAATAATTCTATGCATTTATAACTAGGTTTTTTAAAGGGATTATATTAAGATACATTTTCAAATGTTGACCTTGAAAGATGTGATAGAAATCATCCCGCCGTTAAAGACGTGTTTACTCATATAGTAGATAACACTGCCAAAATGTGAGCATGCAAAAACTCTTTAAATGATTTTAAGAAAATTATTAGATTTTTATCCAATCGTTTTCCAGTCAGGTTTCAAGGACTTGCAATTGCTTTGTCTGATTCTCCACCTCAGAGAATTTTTTTTTTTCTCAACCTTAATTTTTGGTCTTGAAAAGAAAAAACTGAATTAATTTATAACTGTAAAAGGTACAGGGCGCATAATGATTTATGTATAAAAACATCAGCACACAGAGAACAGGTAGTTTTTGTCTAATGTGGGAATTATTTATAATGATTAAAAACAAACTTCTGTAGTCGTATAAAAGTATATCATACATTCCAAATATTTTAATATCAAAGGTGCGCACTGCTGCAAATTTAATTCCCTGTCACAATTTACATCTCTGTTTCCCAAACATGTTGTAGGTTGTCCCGGCGTCTTAGACCGCAGTATTTTCCTCAGACGCAGCCATGAAGTCCGTGCTGGATGGCGTGGCGGACACCACGTTCCGGACTATTACATCTGGTTTACAGTTTCTGGGCTCCAACGACGCCAACTACGAGGACCCCCTCAACGATGTAGACTTCAAGGCGGGTTTCTCTCTGCAGAAGCCCTTGTCCGCATTCCGCAGCAACTCCTTTCCCAACAAACTACCTGCGGACGAGGAGCTCATCCTCAAGGGCATCCCCTTCTACCCCACCAACGGCACAGACCTGTTTGGGAACAGGAGCACCTTCAAAGATGACACTAACACCTTACAGTGCGGGGAGAACTTCATGGACATGGAGTGTTTCATGATCCTGACCCCCAGCCAGCAGCTGGCGGTTGCTGTGATGTCTCTGACTCTGGGTACCTTCACCGTGCTGGAGAACCTGGTGGTGCTCGGCGTCATCTTCCGGTCCCGGACCCTCCGCTGCCGACCGTCCTACCACTTCATAGGCAGCCTGGCTGTGGCTGACTTGCTTGGCAGTGTCATATTTGTCTACAGCTTTCTGGACTTCCATGTTTTTCACAGGAAGGACAGCCCCAATGTTTTCCTCTTCAAGCTGGGCGGAGTCACGGCGTCGTTCACCGCGTCCGTGGGGAGCCTTTTTCTCACCGCCATTGACCGCTACATCTCCATACACCGGCCCCTCTCCTACAGGCGCATCGTGACACGGACCAAGGCTGTCATTGCCTTTTGTGTGATGTGGACCATCTCCATCGTCATCGCAGTGCTACCTTTGCTGGGCTGGAACTGTAAACGTCTCAATTCCGTTTGCTCAGACATATTCCCTTTAATAGATGAGAATTACCTGTTGTTCTGGATCGGCGTGACCAGCGTCCTGGTCCTTTTCATCATCTACGCTTACATATACATCCTGTGGAAGGCACACCATCACGCTGTGCGCATGCTCAGCCGCACCTCCCAGAAGAGCCTCGTCGTTTACTCGGCAGACGGGACTAAAGTGCAGACCACACGCCCTGAGCAGACGCGCATGGACATCCGTCTGGCCAAGACCCTGGTGCTCATCCTGGCGGTGCTGATCATCTGCTGGGGCCCAGTGCTGGCCATCATGGTCTACGACCTCTTCTGGAGGATGGACAACGACAGCAAGACGGTGTTTGCTTTCTGCAGCATGCTGTGTCTGCTCAACTCCACCGTCAATCCGATCATCTACGCCTTGAGGAGCAAGGACATGCGGCATGCCTTCCTCAGCTCCTGCCAAGCCTGCAGGGGCAGCGCCCAGCAGTTGGACAATAGCCTTGAGTCGGACTGCCAGAACAGACATGCCCACATTTCTGCCAACAGGGCTGCAGAGAGCTGCGTGAAGACCACTGTGAAGATTGCCAAAGTAACAATGTCTGTGTCAACGGAAACTTCGGCGGAGGCCGTCTAATTGGCCGTCACGGGGTAAACTGTAAATGTCATGCCCCCCCCCAAACAATGCCGTTGAACTGAATGAAGCGACGGTTAGATATCCCCAGAAAGAAAACCCTTGACTTACTGCACATGCTCACATGGGAGCATTAGTGGGTGAATTACTTTACGCTGGTCTGCGAGAACATGGTGTGCCAAAGTGCCAAACCATATTGAGAGTTCATAGGAAAGACTCAATTTAAAAGGGTTATCCAAGACTAGTATCATTCCTAACCATTGACATCATTATGTCCAGTTAGTTAAGGCATATTATATTTTTGTACTGTGAATTCAGGTTTTGAAAACACTATATCTTCGTTCATGGGATAAGGGGCTACTGACATTTTTAATTTGAGATGTTTACTGTGTTGTTTGGACTTTAAAATGTACCTTGGACCATAAATATAACACATCTTCTTGTCTTGACTTTACAGGATTCATGAACATGTTGCATATGCACATTTCACACAGATGGAATGATACAAAAATAATGTTGAAATGACAGATTTATTCCAGAATGAACGTTAAACATGTAATTTTAGTACTTCTTCTGACAACACTCAGTGAGTGGCAGCCTGTGTGAAGACATTTTGAGAAAGGTGATTCGTGCTTAAGATTTAAAAAAAAGAAAAAACAACATATTTATCAAAGTGAGATGGAGGTTAACGGACTCACGGTGTGTCAACTCTAGAATGGCATTTACTGTGGCAGTGACAGTCGTCCCTGTTTTACGTCCATTTCTCAAACCGCTCGCTGTTAGGCCTATAAAGTAACGTGTCTTGGTTCAAATGTGTACTTAACAACTGTACAGTCTTTTCTTGCTAAATAAAGTGTTCAACTCTACTCCTTTCGCCTACGCAGACAACACGACAACAACAACAGGCTTTCGGCCAAAGCTGGAACACTTCAAAGCTGAATTTGGACGCAGTGTGCTGGTCACTACTGTGTGAAACACTTGAAGTAGTTGCCGAGCTACTTTCATCAAATGTACGATTTTATGCTGTGTATGTGTGTGATACTTTGTGACTTAGTGCTATATTTCCAACCCCAAGCCTTTTGATTATTGCAGTGAGTTGTTTTAGTGCTATTGTTGGAAAGGAGCATCATTTCGAAAAATAAAAGCGACCCATGTGGCCTGGTGTATTTTGGGCCTAAAATCAACAACAGACATTACAGAAAACATGTCTGTTGTTGATTTTAATGATCCAAACAAAGAAACAAGTGTTTTTTCATCAGCTGGTAACTTGGTTGGCGTATAAGTTGTGTGGAAACGTAAAAACTTTCACCCGACCACGCGGAAGAATCTGAGAAGATGTGATTTTTCTAATAAGATGTCGAGCTTTAAACCTAGAAATCTCACAGCTCAACTGTTCTGTAGACATTTTTTTTGGTGTAATCAGTACGCTTCGCTGCCTCTCGTATTATTGGGTGTTGAAGATCAAAATGTCAGCTGTCAAGTGGCTTCTGTACAGTGGTGGCTTGAGGAACCTAGGACTTAAAAACCACAATCAGTCAAGTGTATTCAGTATTGCTGTTTTCAAACGTTTCAATAAAGTTGCTGCTGGTTGTCATTTTGCTTGGAATTATTTGATCGATTATTTGGAGGTGGGAGATAAGATGTGGCAGCACAAGCCGCTTAATTCATGCGATTCAATGCCACAAACAGATAATCCCACCGTGATATTGGTGATATTTCACTGCCCCCCTGTGGAAGATTAGACATTGCCAATAGTGCAGCTTCTCCATGGAAAGATAGTTGCCAGTTTACTGTTATTTCTTGTGACCCCAGTAATGGCACAAATTAACACCACGTCCTCTTTTCTTTTTCACCCTTTTTATATTTTGTCTTAGAGGAACCAGGGAAATCACGACACATTGTTCACACAGATGTCAACTGTGAAAAATACTCACATCTGCAAAATATCATGAGGCAGGATTGCAGTAAAAGTGGTAGATGAATTGATAATGAAAATTATCTTTTGTTTTCACGCCTAGATGCAGGATTATTCAGTGGAGTAGCACTTATAAATCAAACAACATCACTTACCTTTGGAATTCATTTTTCATATTATATTGTTCATATTGTCCGAGAAGTTTGGTAATCTGTAAGTGTTGAAATACCACACATACTCCTAAATTGTTTGTGTATAAGGATGGTTGAGGAAGTCGCAATGATGGAAGGCAAATGTCTAAACTTTTGGTTCTATGTGCAAGGGGTGGGGTGTCCTAACTTGGATACTATTGGCCGAGTCATTGATTTTGATCAATACATATCCATCACAAATAGTTCTATTTTTGGTCAAACTTTATTAATTAATTAATGATCTACAGGAAATTAGTTGGCAACAGTTTGTTCAGGAGTATCGTTATATTTTATTTCATTCTTTCATTCTTAGGCAGCATAGTTATTATTTCTTATGAATCTTAAAATTCCTCCTAATTCAAGGCCATGAGTAGATAGATAAATGCGGATAAAATATAATATTAAATATTGACACATTATCATTTTTAGTTGGATTTCAGTCAAATCCTCTTAATAATAAGTAATTCCGGGAAAATTATGAAGTTCATACAGTGTGGTATTGTATTTTGTGAAAAACGAACTGTATTATATTAAGTTGTTTTAAACGTTGAGAAACGTCTTTACTGCTTTTACGCAGACGTCTTATTTGAAACTGAAACGCTGATGTGGTTTGACGTAATGGAAGCAAACGATCATTTGAAAAGAGGGAGCATTTCAACGTCCTGGGAAATGTAGTATTTAAGTTAATAAAACAATGGAACGTATGGGTCAAAGAACTACAGGTACCAGCACCAGTTATTTCTTCGCGCATGCGCACTTGATTATTTTCACGGAACAAGGTAAACCACTCGGATCAGTTAACGGGTGTAACTCGGAACAAGCCCCACTTCATCTGCAATCATCCTATCGTATAGAAAGCCTTCTTTAGATCATCCAGCACAGATCGTATCAGGATATACTTGGTAACGTAATTTATACGACATTTATCAGCAGAAGGCAACAAGGGACGAAAATAGTGCGGATTTGTCTGCTGACCAAGATCGCTGCTGCCCCTTGACTTAGCTAATGCTAGCTATACCTAGCGGCACAGAGCGGGGCCCTGGTTAGCAACCTCACCAGATAACGCACAGATTTAGCCTTTCTTTTTTTTAGTTGTTTTTATTTAAACACACTTGGGCGTGATGGCTTGTGGGGCTACCCTGAAAAGGACTCTGGACTTTGATCCACTAATGAGCCAGGCTTCCCCTAAGAGAAGGCGGTGCGCACCGATCGCGTCTCCGGTCTCTTCGCCGCAGAAATACTCGCGGATGGAGCCCTCGCCGTTCGGCGAAGTGTCGTCCAGACTCACCACAGGTAAAAAAAACACAAAAAGAAATAATAATAAACTGAAACCTACGTTTTGTATTGCACTCGTATTTAAATATGTATATGATAAAAACCATTGTCTGCTGTAAGCTGGGAGCAGCCGGCTTCCCCCATTAGCATTAGCATTTCCCGTGTGTAACGTTGCGGGTCTTTTAAAAGCCAAACAAGCCGTGGTGAAGTGCACGCTGCCGTCACACGCGCGTCCTGCACGATGCGGATCATTGTTGTCAAATGGTCAACACGGCATGGAGGGCTTTTTTTAAAAAGCAGTTTTTATGAATGACTGCATTATTACGTGTGCTTTGTCGCCGTTGAGTATGTATATGTCCGGAAACCAGAGATTTGTAGTAATTATCAGACTGTGTGTGTATTTAATTTACCTTATTCCACCTTGACGTCACGATGTCTTCTATCAAGTCTCATATCATAACATATGATCAAGGCCATGATGAAGGATCAATATTCTGCAGCGGCTTTGTGTTGAAGCACCTCTGTTCAAAGATTCCTCTTATAAAATGGTGCAAAAATGTTTTTTTCTTTTTGTTTCAGAGCAAATTTTACATAACATCAAACAGGAGTATAAGCGGCTCCAGAAACGAAGACACTTGGACAGTGGTTTTCAGCAGGCAGACAGCTGCTGTCCTCTGGACCTGCAGAATGTCCACAGTGGACCCGCCCTAGCAGGTAGCTACCATCTTTATGATGATATTGACAAATTGGTGAATTATTTGTGTGATGAGTTGCAAAATCGTTTTACTGATCAACTTAAAAATAAGTTTATTGTGATCTGGTTGATTTAGTTCCCGGTTAGGATGACGGCATGGATGCTATTAGTCGTCTAGAGGACATGGTTAAGAGCCGTAACCCCTTTATACTTTCCCTTTTAACAACCTCTCTCTGTGAGCAGAAGTCCACTGCACTGATGCTCGTGGCCGTACCTGCTTGGCTCGAAAGCTCGACAATTTCAGTTTACAGTCTGTTGTAGCATTTGCGTGACCAATTTACATTAATGTTAGTGTGTTTATTAGCATGAGTCATTTACTAGATACATTGTATGATGTCATCTCTCCCAACAGGGACTTCCTCCGGTGCCTCATCTCCCACTAGAAAAGAGCAGCCTTTATTTTCCCTCAGACAGGTCGGGATGATCTGTGAAAGACTGCTGAAAGAGCGAGAGGACAAAATCCGCGAGGACTACGATGAGATGCTTACCACAAAGCTTGCAGGTGTGGTTGTTATTATTATTTTTTATCACTCATATTTTTTTTTGCAAAATGTAGAAAACACGTTTGTAGAGATGAATCCATGCTGTGTGTGAATGAACGTTTATTCTTCCGACAGAGCAATATGATGCGTTTGTCAAGTTCACGCATGATCAACTGATGCGACGGTTTGGAGAGCAGCCTGCCAGCTGTGAGTATATTAGTTTAAATGATTTGCAGCTCGTTAATGGGTCTCTATCCATCATCCACCGTTTATTTGTAAAATTTGAAGTGAACCACATTTATGTCTGCTGTTTGAGAATACATTTAAGTAGGTACAAGCAATGTATTTATTTATCCTCCACAGATGTTTCCTGAGTGTCAGCGGCCACTATTGACGATGCAAATTGCTGCTGGCTACTCCAGGAACTCTGGGTCCGATTGGACTTTTCTCTAGCTGTGCCACGTCGCCTCTATGTGGACTCAGTTTGTGGTATCCACATTTGCTCTACAGAGTCAGGAGGGCTCCCTGCTGCCAACTTGTTTAAGGACTCTATGTGACTCCACCAGTGGCCTCTTAACAATATTTATTTGGCTTTGTTCTGATGCCTTCGTAAAAGGCTGACTGCTACCACACAACCGGGTCTTTAGATTTTATTTTATTATTTTTTTGTAGTGGGGCAGCTCCTCCACATGTATATTTTCAAAAAGGGATTGAACATTGATGAGTGGATAAACCAGGACTGCCCTTAGACTGGGCTCCAGGAACCGACAACTTGGCTTTCGCGGCATTGTTTTTAAACTGTACTGGCATTTACTGTTATTACATTTGTATACACTGTATTTTTCGTGTGACCTTTGTTTATTGTAACAAAATTTCATGGTTTTATTTGCTGTAGGTGTTAAGAGGCTTTGATTCAAGAAACGCAAATAAAGTGTTTACACAAGTACTTGGATTTGTCTTAGTCGTTCTATTGCTAACCGTAAAATCCTATGCGCTTCGGTGTTTTCTACATATTTCCACCATACTGTTGAGAATGTTGTTTGTAGCCTATGCTTAAGACACCTGTCAATTATCACTGGGACAAGTTCTTCTGTTGAGCATTGTGTCATTTTGAAGTTCTTCAGCTCCAAGTCACTGATTTATATCAATTTCTGCTGGGTACACAGTTCTTAATGTCTATAAAGTGATGTTTAGAGTGAGTCACAGGGAAATCACACCACTGGTTTTCATTTTCATGTCTTATAACAGGCATAATCTCTGAGTTGTTAAATCAATAACATAACAAGGGTGTTTCCCATACGTTAGTAACTTAACTGTTATTAAGGTGTGAAAATCGAAATCAAGTGTCCGTAGGGAGCATCGGAGAAAACAATCGAACGAACCCAATCCGTTTGCAAACGACGCCTGTGATTGGACAAGCGTAACGGAAGTAGCGTGGCTAAGGCGGAAGTACAGTCGCCGCGCCACTGAATGGATCCCACAACGTTGATTGTTGCCAATTTCGCTACAAGTTTTATGATGTTCTTCTTGCACGTTTAACAAACATGGCGTGTTTCTTCCGAAGGAGAATAGCGGCGCAGGTAACTGAGCGAAAAATCTTGAAATACTCCCCGCTAAGCTAATGCTACTTTAGCAGCACGCCGTGACCCTGGAGCGAGTCAAAACACGAATGTCTGTTGATAGTTGCGCATCACGGTTTGTATACACGCGTTGACGTGCTGTTCATCCTCTGGCTCTCCGTTTGTCTCGACGTGTAGCTCGGCTGCACGCTGCAGCAGCCCGAGGACGCCTTCATACCGGCTCTTGCAGCGGTTCCAGTTTTTAAGAAACAGTTGAGTCGGTTTATAACTTACTTCATTCGTCCTCCGCTGTGCAACAACGATGCCGAGTCACATGTTCCTCGCGTGTGTTTTTGAACTTGTACTCCTCAGACAGTCTGCCGACTTCAAACTATCAATCGCCACATTGCGGATGAGCGGGATTTTACCATCCAGCGGTGACATCCAGCTGCAGGCCGAAAGCTTGGCCGCTCGGGTGAGATTCATGACGGATGACGTAGGTGTTTGGCGTATAAACTTGTTTTGATGACAGCTTTAGTCTAAATCGCAAAAGCATTGGTTGCACTTCTGGGTTCAGTGTTTATGTCTGTGATAGTCCAGCGAGAGGAGCTCAGGGACTCGATCACTGCTCCACCAGTTGAGTTACAGCCACCTTTTTTCAACATTAGTCAAATATGTGGATATTTAACAAAAACGGACCCAGAGAAACGTCTTTCTGCTTTTGTAAACTTATAAAACAGACTTTTATGATGTCTTTCCATTATTGCAAATACGATCACAAAGCGCTCATCCCTGCACATCTGTCCTCAAATGAGTGCATCAGCTTCTGTGTAAAGTTGCCTTTTTATTTTCCTTGCTTGAATAAAATTACTTGAGATATCTTTGAACTTTCTGTGAATTGTCATAATTTCTACTCTTGTCTTATTCTACGTAAAGAATACTCAGTTTTCCTCTGTGTTTGAAACACTAATGTAATATATTTTTTATATTTCTCGAAATCTTTTCTGTACGTTGCAGTTGAAGCGGGACAGTGTCGTCGAGGACGTATCTGCCGGACGCGGAGTGATCAACTTTAAAGTGAATCGCAAACTTCTGGTTCAGGTGCGTCAAATTTCTTTTCTTCTGTGGTGCAAACAATTGTCATGTCTGCTTGCATTGTGAATATCATCTATTTGACTACCTTTATCTTAGAAAGTGTTGGAGTCGTTTGGAAAGGAGGAGGAAGGTCAATTTGGGTTAAACAGTGAACTTTTAAATACTCTGACGAGAGGAACAACATTAGTTGAGTACAGGTATGTTTGAGTGTTTGTACGTCTTCATTAAGGACCTGCGACGTCTTCCACTTGTCGTTAGTCTGTATTAATGTTTTTTTTTTTTTTTTTGCAGCTCTCCAAATATAGCCAAAAAATTTCATGCTGGACACTTAAGATCTACAATTATTGGTGAGTTTTAGATTAAATCTGTCCAGTAATTGAAACCATAATAGTAATATAGATATTTAACGAGTGAGTTGCACTGTGAACTAGATAATGGCCAGTATTACCTCCTTACAAATATCTCTAATTAATACAAAATGACAAGAAATCAAAGTAAAGAATAGCTTTTTTTAAAATGGTAGTACACCCATCGGAGATTACTGACATTTCCAATTAAATAAACACAGCAAGTCTTTATTTCCAGGTAACTTTATTGCTAATCTAAAGCAGTGTCTTGGTAACAACGTAATTCGGATGAACTACCTTGGAGACTGGGGCATGCAGTTTGGTGAGTAAGTGCTGTGCAAATATTCAACAGCTTTCCTCCGCTGTCATGAATGATTCTCTTTCAATGAATTGAATTGTTTTCCATCTTTCGATTTCAGGTTTGCTCGGGGCTGGCTTCGCTAAATTTGGATGTCAGGAGAAACTGAAACAGAATCCCTTACAGCATCTGTTTGAGGTGAATTTGCATGTTTCGATAAAGACACAGTTTAAATTCTAAGAGAGACATGTTAAATTTACACAATTTATTTCAATAAAAAGTGTCAAGAATGAGCCACATAGTAAAAATGATGTTTGTTGTCTTTGCCTTGCAGGTTTATGTTGAAGTTAACAAGGATGTAGAGCAAAATGAGGAAATGATGCAGGCTGCCAGAGCATTCTTCAGTCAGCTGGAACAGCACGACAGCGAGGCTGTGTCGCTATGGCAACAGTTCAGAGAGATCACAGTTGACGAGTATCAACATGTTTACAAGGTACAACCAGCCGGAGCGACTAACATAACTGCCCAATATCAGAAGAATTAATATAATCAACTGTAGAATTTGACATTCATGTTTAAATCTTCCCAGCGGTTAGGAGTCCACTTTGATATTTACTCCGGGGAATCCTTCCACCAACAACAAGCCCAGCAGGTGGTGCAGAAGCTTCAGAGTCAAGGCCTCTTGAAAACCTCTGAGTACGTGACCGTTAAAGCGTTTAGTCAGGAGCTGCTATGACGCTCTCAAAGTTAAATGTGTCAAATGATTGATGAATAGTATTAAACCGTAAGGGGTGTGAATATGCAAGAAATACACAGAATAATGTAAAAATGCATCAGTGAATATAGTCTTGTCACAAACACTTAGTAATCAGTCATGCTCTTACTAAGCTCACTAGTTCTAAAGTAGACGTGTTTGAATAACTACTACTTGTTTATTATATCAGAATTTCTTGTAATTTTCTTTTGTATATCTATATATCAAGGGTTATAGTAATTGAACTAATTACCAGATGTTTGATGTGTTGATGTTAATCCTGAGCTGACTTGTATTTACAGAAAAGGAACCGGCGTGGTGGATCTCTCCACTGCTAAAGACATGAGCAGCGTCAGCACAGTGCTCCGCAGCGACGGCACAACTCTCTACATCACCAGGTCCGCTCTGCGAGAACCGGTCAACTGATATTTGCAGGAACAGATTTAGTTATAATAAAATTGGCAATAATGGCGGCTTCTTTTCCAATTTCTGTATTCAAGAGATCTTGCTGCAGCAATTGACCGAAAAGAAAAGTACCATTTTGATGAGATGATTTATGTGGTAAGGAAACGGAGGCCCTTCAAAAGAGAACTGTGATGGTCATTGTTCTCCATTCTCTTGTCATTTCATACAGACTTATGTGCTACTACTGATGCTCACTTTTCCTGGATCTCTATGGATGCATTATCTTTAATTTGATGCGTCTTTGTATTTTTTATCTTTTCAAGACAGATAAAAGTCAAGCGATTCACTTCCAGCAGTTGTTCCACATCCTGCTCGCTATGGGACATTCTTGGGCTGACAGGTAGCAGTAAAACCCTTTAACACAACTACGCAGGCTATGGAAGCTCCTGGCCGATAGTAAATGCTAATTGTTGATTTTAGAATTCAAAGAACAGTTTTATTAAAATCTGACAGTTGAAGTTGAACATTTTGTTTCAGAATGTATAATAAATGATGTCATAATTTGTTAAAACACCCATTCATTTGTCGTAATGAAAAATTCCCATTCTGCATAACAACCTTTTGACAATTTAATTACGGCTTTGCTAATAAAACCTTTGCGTCTTTAATGCAGGACCTTTACTTGTTACAGTATATATTTTGTAAGTATAGTACCGCTTGTTAGTAGTAAGGGAACAAATTGCACCACTGGTTGCAGGTGTGAGCATGTGCCCTTTGGCCTGGTGCGGGGTATGAAGACCAGGAGGGGTGAGGTGGTGTTTCTGGAGGACGTGCTGGACGAAGCTCGGGCCAGGATGCTCCGCAACATGAACCAGTCAAAAAGTAGGAGCTGCTCCGCCATGTCACGCCGGAGGCAAATGGGTCTATCGAACAGATACTAAGAAAACCTGCCAGTGTAAGAATAAGGAGCACTTATTTTTCTTTTTCCCCACAGCAACGAAGGAGACGGTCAACCCAGAAGACACAGCAGAGAAAGTGGGGATCAGTGCTCTAATAGTGCAGGTTAGTTACGGTTTCAACCCTTACCTCTACTTCCTGCCATCAAGTAGTTTGATTTCCTGATCCATCTGAACAAAGTGAGTGGAGAGAATTTCATTGACTTTGCTTCAGGACTTCAGAGGGCCGCGGGAGTCAGACTACACATTTGACTGGGACAGGATGCTGCAGGCGCAAGGAGACACGGGAGTTTTCCTCCAGTACACACACGCCCGACTCCACAGGTCTGACAGTAACAATAATACCAGTCCTGCATTTGATTTAAAACGGAAATCTATGAATATACATTAACGTTTGATACAAAGTGTCCATAAATACCCCCAAATCACAAGCACCGGCTCATTTTATCACTGTGGTCCCACCGCAGTCTAATACAGAGGAACGAAGGCGTCGCAGCAGTTCTGTTTGATCCGTCCCACCTGCTCGAGCAGACGAGCGTCCCCGTCCTGCAGCACCTCCTTCGGTAAGCACAAACTACTTTTTTTTTTTTTTTTATCCCCGATGACAGAAGCTGTCAATATGTCAGTGTCTTATCTATTTGCCCAACATGTGATAAATCCCTCCATGTGCTCTCTGTAGCTACGATGAAGTCTTATACCAGTCAGCCAAGGATCTGCAGCCCAAACACCTGGTCAACTTTTTATTGAAGCTGTGGTAAGAAGGATGTTAGTCTTGAGGGTTCGGCCGGGTCGCTTGTAGAACTGTGTACTTAAGTGTATTATTGATGTTTCTCCTGCAGCCACCTGATCGCCTCAGCACACAGAGAGCTGCCAGTGAAAGGAAGCTCTCAGGATGTTGCACAGGTAGAAAGAGAATCACTCAATTAGCTGAGTTTTCATAACGCAATCTAAAGACAACTTCTACAATAATCACACTAAATTCAAAATATATATATAAACGGTAACAATAGTTTTGTATGTTAATTCTCTGCAGCAGAACACATTTGCATGACCCTTTTACAGATGGTCACACGTTATGGTTTTACATTTCTATAATTGCGTTTACCATTGCCTGTTTGGCAAAATGGCCCTTTTTCAGACACGGATAACACTGAACAAACAATCACTCTCCCAACATCTGCATTAAGTCACAGAAAAACATCAGTCTTTTAATGCAATAATGAGCAAAAGCCTGAAGACTGATACAAAATTCCATCCCGATTCATACAAATATTAATGGCAAAAAGGAAACGTGTATTTAAAAAAAATTGTACTTCATCTCATTTGCTGAATGTCAACAGGCAAGGTTACGGCTGTTCAGTGGGGCCCGCTCAGTCCTGGCCAATGGGATGAAGATCCTGGGCATCACACCAGTTGATCAAATGTGAAACTGCTGTAGGTACAACAGTTAAATAAATACCATGTTGCTTCTATTGTCTCAGGTATTTTCCATTTACAGATTGGAATCAAACACAATTACTCACCAGCGAGTCACTCAGTATTCATTGTCTGCTGACACATTCTATCCAAACACAAAATGCAGTGGGATGTAACAACTCCTATTGCACGGAGTGATTACGTACGTAAGCGAATAAACAAACCCATCCTAATCAGACCGGTCCAACTGGATCTGGTTTCTTTAGAGAAGGGCAAGGCGTCACAATGAGCAAAATAGTTTGCTTTTACTGTGACGTTCAAAACAGAATGCAACACCGATGTGATGCCATCGTAAACTTAATAATCACAGTTGTCATGTTCAGAATCCACAGCATTTGATATGGACAGAGGACAATAAAATTGCAGTGAAAAAGACAAATTACCCCCCCCCAAAAAACAACTCACTGAGTTGTGATATTCATTCTTCCCCTAGAACAGATAGATGGGTGAATCACAACAAGGTCCCGCTGCTGCTTATTGCTCCAGCATGGCTGGAAGGAATTAAAGCTTCGCATATTGCATCATAACATTTACAAATTTGAGCAAGCATGTTTAAGATCAAGTTTTTTTTCTTTTCTTCTCATCAACGGAAAGATTGTATTGTACATTGAAGTGGACCGAAAGTTGCAGTCTATGTAGTGAACTGAACACACCGACAACGGAACAGAGTTTCTCATTTCGCTCCGAAGGGCCGGACCTCGTTCAGGCCGCTGGGAAAAAACGGACCGAGACTGACTGCTGCAGGTTGGCGGCTCACACGGTGATCAGCCTCTGTTTGGAATGCTTGTCGTCGTCTTGCCGGTTCAGCTTCGATGTTTCAGTCTTTGGAAGTCCATACAAGTAGATGGACACACACACCAAGAGAGCTCCGGAGGCGAATGAGAATGCTGCACAGCGGGGAGATAATTGCAAAATGAGACGTCACCTCACGTCGCGAGCCAGAAGGGCTCGGCAAAGCAACAATGTGGTCGGGTGAAAACTACGTACTTATCTGCAATCCAAACATGAAGACAGACGCCACCGTTGAGAGAACAATGGCGGCTGCAGCAGAGAAGCCTTTCATGATGTTGTCGGTGTACTTCACGACCACCGACGTGTACAGGCCGCCCACGCTGGCCAGTACTGGAAGTACGAAAGAAGTTACAGCTAAAATTCCTTCAAGAAAAGCGAAAATCCCAACAGATTCGTCGTGTTCAGCCGTACTTACGCACTACGAAGCACACCATGGGCGTGTAGCCGAAGAAGAAACCGTTCTCCAGGACCTTCTCGCCATCGTTTATGTAAACACCAATCAGTGTGACCACAATACCGGAGATGTACATCTGGATGTTTCTCACCCACAGAGACGTGTCAGAGCTCTTCAACACCTTCTCAAAGTACACGCCTTAAATCATAAAAGCACACATAACTCTTTATTGCAAAGTCAATACTCAAATATTTACAACAGGCCTCTCAAATAATGTCACAGACAGATTGATTGATTTGAAATCAATTCCCTTCCTAGTGAGAAAAGTAATTTGTAAAGTTTATGGTAACTCAGAATGGGAATCTAACAGCAGTATCCTTCGGCAAGTTTACCTGCAAACCCTGAACAAACGACAGCAATGGCGATGGCAACGAACCCGAGAAAAGGATTTTGCTCAATCTGAAAAAAAGAAAATACATGGCGTGAGCCACCAGACGGTGAATATCATCGACATTATGATCCACGATAGTGTGAGTCAGGATATACATTGTTTATCAGGAGGAATGAGGAAACATTTATTGCCGAAATATGTCATACATACAAGGAATTTGACTTGGCGGTTGGTGCGTGACAGTAGACAGTGTAACAATAGACAACAAGACAGCAGTGCACAAGTAATAAAATAAGGTAAAATGAAATTCTAATGCTATGGGTTAGTATAAAATAAGAGAATAAAGTTAAGTTAAAAATTAAAAATGTTTAAAAAGTTAAATATTAAAAAAAAAAGTGCACTAGCGAACAAGTGACGAGTGAACATTTAGATTATAATAATTGCTGCCACCCACCTGAACCTTGGTGGACTGTGCAGGCTTCCATTGGACGAGTGTTACGCCGCCGCAAAGCATGAAGACCGAGAACCACTGCAGCCGACTCAGAGATCGGTTCAGCATGAGGACGGTGCACAAGGCCGTGCACGGGATCTTCAGCTGATAGGTCACCTGCACAGAGGAACACTAGTTAGGTGGAAAGCAACAGACTGGTAAAACTTCAAAATAATACAGCGTCTCTCTTGTAATTAGCATGCATGCAGGTTTTGGACCATGGGTTGAAACATCAAGAAATGTAGACATGTTGCCATCGTTTCTGAGAATGTGTAAAATAAATGATCTAACATTTTTGTTAAATAAGTCAATGAGTATGAACACAACGCATGTCAAGTCCTCATGCTTGTTATTTTTTAGTTGATGAAGCAGTGGAGGTACGAGACACTGTGCTTTACATGACAGAGTGACACACCCCTTCATATACTGTTCATCCACATTACATTCACGCAGACACATTGGGTTCAAAAACCAACGGTTGTGTGATGAGTGGAATCACTACGTTTGGTTCCTACCTGATACACTGCTGCGTCAAGGTTGCTCAAGGCAAGAAACGCCATGTTATTCTGAACTGCGTACACTATGGACGGCACGCTCAGCTTCAGCAGTTCTTTTGGGCTGCAGAACACGTGTTCCACTAAAACGTTCTTCAGTCTGGTGGGGCTTCCTGTTTCTCTGAGAGAGGAGGGATAAAGCAGGCTCATTAAGGTGGTGTTTAAATACTTATATTTCACTTAGACCTTAATTCCACTTGCGGGAATCGTTAGATCATTTTACTCAAATTTGCTTTTAACATCTACATGTGTTTAAGGACAGAGGACTTAACTGTCGGGACATGTTTGTACAAACCAGGAAGGCAGCTCAGAACTAGATTATTATACAACATACTAGACATTAGTCACTTGTAAAGTATGTGTAAAGAATGAGGGTCTATTTAATGCTAGTTTGATTTATTGTTACATTTGGGAACCGCCAAGAGATTACAAATGGAAACTACTACATATATTCAACAGAAGTAATAATATCTGCTTTGATCTGGTCTGAATGAATTCATGTTATATAGTCCTGGTTCCTGTTATACCTCTTACTACAAATGTCATCTTTTCCTATGACGTGATGCATCTCGAGACACTTTTTTTCCTAGTTGTGAATTATAAAAAAAAACACCCTTTTGCCACATTCACAGCATTCCTGTTTGTTAAAAGCACTCACTTGGACAGCATCCCCAGGCTGAGCACCAACTTGATGAGCTCGGAGACGCACACCGCCGTGGTGGAGAAGTACATGTCTGACGAGACGGTCCTCGTGTACCGCAGCGTCACCGTGTATGTAGCCGCCACCAGTGTCATCACTGTCAGGCAGTACACTTTGAAGACGACGCTCACCTTCTCTGTGGAGGGACGAGAGTGGACATTAGAGGGGGACATATGGTTTTAAAGAGATTGACTTAACGTAAAACAAAATAAAAGCCATACGCGGCGCGTAGCTGACGTTACTACTGAGCATCTTCATCTGGTACGTACGGTTAGACCCGCGGCTAACATTTAGCTATCGTGCTAGCTGATATAAAGTCATTGGACTCACCGAGAGCCATGTTTGCTGCTTCTCGTGTCCCTCCGAGTGAAATGGGAGTCAATTTCTGCTGCCAAAATTACATCGTCTCAAAGTTGGAAGAACCTGTATGGCCTGCTTTAATGAATGCTGCTCGACCAGTTGCAGATCAGCAAACATTTGTGTGCCTGATAACAGTTTTTTTTTTCTTGCCCAGCGGCCTGAGCCTACATTACCCAGAATGCAGCGCGAGCCCACTTTACGGATAGTGCGTTTCATTTCTGTCTCTCGACGTCCTGCTTGATAAAAGTCAGTTCAGTGACCTCGTTTGACTTTACGCTCGTTGAAGGTAGTACTTGATGTCACACTACGTTGCAGTTATTTGATGTTTTCAGGATTTTATTTCTCGTTAGCTAACGTAATGTTCACACGTGTTTTATTTGACGGCTCTTATTACGAAATGCAATTAAAAATACAGTGATAGACGAAGTCCTCATTTCCCCCAAACCTTTTTTGTTTTATTTCAGGAAGGACACAATAATCAAATCAGGAAAGGCATGCAAAAAAACACGGATTCAATTAACACATTTTAATGTATTTATTTTTGACAATGAGTTTTGGTTAAGTATTATACCAATTGCCACCAAATATTTTAATTAAATGCTGGAAATCACTCAAATCCGGTTTTGCAGCAAGAGAAGTGTTTTGAATGCAATTTTCCATTACTGTAAAACTGGTTCAACTTTATCATTATTTATCATATAAAATAAAGTGTTGATATCTTAACTCTACAGGTCATACATGGATAACAACAATATGATCACAACTATTGATGCTTTTAGGGAATATTCCGATACAGCTAATACTAAAGAGAAATTACTCCATATTTAGTTAAGGTAAAGAATTTCTGACACATTGAACTCTTGAACACAGGCAAATAAATATATTGCAACATACTACTTAGTGACAACATCTTCTGTTAAGAACATAGTTCATGTTCTACTTCACAGCCTCACCGACCTTCTTGTAGGGCAGCGTGAGCGAAAACCAACACATTTCCTAAACATCACAGCATGTTGGGAACGCATTGCAGGCAATTTTAAATGGTAACACATCGTAGCAGATATTCTTAGATGTTAAACGTTATGGAAAAATATCAACCACTTGTTTGTTTGTTTTTAACTTCCCACAATGACCCTAGTCTGGGATATTGTATTGGTGTAATTCTACTCATAAATGGCACGGTGTCCATTACATCCATGCACTGCTGCTGCAGGGAAAAGCTGTAGCGTGCTCGAATTGAGCCTTACAACTGCAAGCAAAGTGATCTCAGGAGTTGTCAGAGGGAACGTGCTCAAAGCCCTCGCTCTCCCTCACCAACGCCCTCTCCAGAATCACACGGCCCTCCTTATACCGCTGGCTTCCCTCGTTGGCGAACTCGTACGTCCAGCCCACCTTGCTGTTGCAGTTCTTGCAGCTGACGTCTCTCACCATGTGTCGTCCCGTCAACATAACTCTGTCCTGCACATCGCTGTGCTGCAGATTCACAACCTGGAAGTCAGCATCCAGATATCAGTCCCTATGACAGTTAATTGCTTCACAGGCTACCAAACCCAAATATCTCATCTCATTTAATGATGATAAAACAGTGGAAAGCTAATAATCCTCACAATAGAGAAGCTGGAAACATAATTGTTAGGCAATTAGGCTGGAAAATTTCTCTTAAAAATCAGTTAATGGACTAATTGAATCATGTCCATTAATTTCTCTCATCCCATCTGTTAATGAGGAACTAATCATTATATCAATAACAGTAAGAGTTATTGACATATCACAGTCTTAACCAACGTTTTAAACCACAGTGGCTATCTGACTCCAGGTGGTCCATCATCCTGAGATTAATGTAATTGTATGTATTTTTACCATTTAACTAAGAAGGACAACACTACCGTTATGTATCACCCGAGTGAAGGAGGTGATGTGCAGGTACCTTGTTGAAAAGGAAAGCTCGCCCAGTGGCCCCGGTGAAGCGCGTGGAGATGAGTTCTGCTCGATTGGTCAGAATCGTGTCACAGTTTGCACAAGAGAAGAGGCGAGTCCCACCAATGTGATCAAGGAAGATCCGCCCCATTTTGTCCACCTGCACAAAGTAAAGACAAAAACATGAATGAAGTTGCCTTGTTCCGTGGTATAACATATGTATTACCAATATGATTATTTATACTTTTCAAAGTCTTAAATTAGGCAACTTCTGCTATTTTTACTGTGACAGAGGAATGTAAATTCTTATTATTGCTAAGGCACCCTTTTAATAGGTGTTGATCTAGGAACGGGAGACAGCATTTCAGCCCAAAAAATAAATGTATATTGCAAATCTTTTTTTTTTTTTTTACAAATTTAAAAACAGTGATACTGTTTTTGCAATCATCGTTTCACTAGGGGGGGGGGGGGGGGGGTATGCCTTGTATAAACAATTACTTGCATCATTTCTGCAACATACACTAACCGTTAAGGTTGGTTTAACGTTATTTACAAGATTACGTCAGTTTTGAGGTTACTCGCTGAGATGGAGATATTATTATATCATTAGGGAGCACCGCTATTCCCTTAAAGAGGCAACATGGTAGAAAACAAAAACGATTTGGGAATTGTATACCTATCATTAACTACCAAATGCGGTCAATTAAAAAACAGTCACTAAGTTACGTCAGAGAAAAATGACGAAGGCATCGAGATAACGTGAATGGGCCCAGCAACGGTTAATGCTAACGCTAACGCTAAGTGGAAACCTCGTCAACTCTCACCTCGCAAACGTTGGGTAGCAGAATGGCAGCGGCCGAGAAACACGGATGTTCGTCGTCGAAGTGTCTCTAAATCAACGCTAATCGCCGGCTTGTCTGTAGTCGTACCAGGTCCGCGTCTCTTCCGTTATTGTTGTTCTACCTGGACTCAGAGAGCGCTGGAGTAGCCAGCCCTGCTAACTAACGCGTCAGTGACAACAAGGACGTCATTTCCGCCCCGGACTTTGAAAATAAATCCCTTCAAAAAATATGTATTGAGTCAGTGTCAAGATTGTCATTATGAACAATCAATCGCGCTACAAACAAAATCTACACCACCAAGAATTTAACAAGCTATGTTTTTCAATGGTGAAGTTTATGCTTTTATTTTGAAAGCAGCAACGTTTCCCTGGTACCTTGATGTAGGTCCACTTAATGACCACAAGGGGGCTGCAGAAACATCACGGACTGTGATCAACTTTTCAAATAAAATGTTGCAATATTTGGGCAACTTCTTTAAAAAAACATTGGCGTTCTATTTCACAAACCAAAATTAATCATTAGGGTGTTTTTATTTATCGTACCTTGGGTACAATCTTATTTTGAAACACATGCATTCATGACTTTCTTGAATGCATTGCTGGTAATGAGTATTTTCCTGATTCAATTAGTAACAATTCCCTCGTTGACAGAGAGCTATGAAATAACATGAGCGACCTTTTTGGATCTTGGAAGAGATCAAAAAGAAGTTTTGTTCATTTCAATTTTCATAAAATTCATGGATTGCAGCCATGGTGACTCCACCAACAAAGTTTACGTAGTGTTGTGTTCAAAAATGAAGAAACGCCGGACGGACAGAGGTCATCGCTGATCAAAAGGTTAAAATCAAATGTATTTAATAAAGGAGATGGCGTTGTGGTAAAAAGAACATCTCAGCTGAGGAGCCGCTGGTCTCAGCAACCAACAGGCCCCAGGTCAGTCCTTTGACCATCCCTAGTGCCCGTCTGTAGCCTCCACCAGCGAACTCGAGAACAATGGTTCCTACAGGTATTTATAACAATGCTTAGAGGTGTGAAAGTTAGTGTCCACACCTCTGGGAGTGGTCTTCTGGTGAGTTCAATGTAACTCGGATTTCGAATGATCCTTAGTCAATATCAGTTGTTGTTCAAGTATTACATGCATGCATTCCAGTTGATTACATTACATCAAATACAATCATAACTGTACATTGGTATTATTCTATTACAGCTGCAGAATTACAGTGGTTTTACAATATTGTCATTACTTTATTGATTACAGTTTCAGAATCATGGCTGTATTCTGGTGTACACTATATGCATTTTTATTAATTTTATGAACCGGGTCGTATATTTGTTTCTAATATCCTACAGTAGTTATCAGATATTTTAGACCAATTTTGCCTTAATCAAGGCTGCAACAGGCCACACCTTCTCTACTACTTACTTCGCGTTCAATAAAGGACTCCTGACATCAAGCAAAAGATTCACTTTACAGCTGAGAGAAAGAAAACTGTGACAATGTGATTTACCTGGTGATACTTGGCATACGTTTAGATACTGTAAGTGTAATATCAACTGAAACAGGTTTTACTGTAAATCTTTTTAACACATGCTGACCTGCTCCACCTCTACCAGCTCAGTAAGCCTTTTGCTTTCATACTCTTAGTTTATTTACTATTAGTCATGTGAGTTCTTAACAGCCAGAGAAGCAGCAATTGACAACGTCCATCCAGTGGTCTGTCGCTGCTGTTGGTGGGATGTGAAAGCAGCAATGTCTTCCTATACTCTTTCTAGATGTGTCTTTTATTACAAACTTTGATGCTTCTTTTTAATAATATGATAATAATGATCTCTTCTCCTACTACAGAGCTAACATCCAACATCTTTTTCTCGTTCTACATAAGTACCAGCCGGGTTTGTGAGCAGATCTTGTCATGGTTTCATTTGCATATGCAGGAGGTGTAAACACCGGCACAAACTGTTCAGCCCATCTGAGATTAGAGTAGATTGGGGAGATAAAAGCCATCCTTCGGCAGGCGGTTCATGCAGGGTTCATGTCCTTGAGGAAAGATAAAGTGCTTATCTGCATTACATTAATTGTGATTGGGGTCAACTTTTTGGTTAGAGACACGTAAGATCTGCTGGGAACAACGAGGGTACAAGGAAGAGATTATAACTGTGCACGTTTCCGTACAAACTGATTCAGATTGTGACAGCTGTTCTTTTGACAAAAACCATAGGAGATAAAAAAAACAAAAAACATGCTGGTTGTTTTCCTTCTTTACGGCCACCTTCGCAATCGGAGAAGAGATAAGAGACAGTAGAACTTTACAATACTGAAACATAACTGATTTCACAAATTTCCCCTTGGGGATTAATGAAGTTTATATATATATCTAACTGTTATTATTAAATACAACAATATAAAAGGTTTTAGAAAGTACTTCACAATAGTTAAGTGTAGATCAAAATGGTTTGTAGAAGTATGTAAAAAAAAGCATTTATTGTTTTATAGGAAATTAGCGTCACACAAGCAATTAATTGGACACCAATTCTGAAATATAATGTACTCAATTTAGTCTTTCTAATCTTGGCACTTGTCCTGTCAATCCGAGTAGAGTCCACTTAATCCAAATGTATGTAACACAATTTGACGAAAAGCCAAAAGGAACATGGTTGGAGTTTTTTCCGCATCTCAACTCTTACATTCTTATTTATCTGACAAGAGAATCTTTTATGCACTAGCAGTGTTTTGCCTTGTCACAACATGAGCTGTTGCACAGTGATGTTATTTATGTATTGTGACTGGAAGGGCGAGTGAAAATTCCAAGAACGTTTTTATCAGGTGTTAAAGGGAAACGTTCACATACATGGGTTTTGTTGTTGTGGGGACGAGTCTGCCCACTCATGACTGTGCAATTTTACGCTGTCGTACTCGAGTCCATCATCACCTCCTCAATTAGCAATTATCTCCTCAATTATCTGGTACGCTGCAGCCAGTGCCAAGGTCAAGGGCAGACTGCACCGTATCCCTCCATGACCTGTTCGCCTCCAGGATCCGGAGGCGGGCAAGAGCGATTTGTAGTCCTCACCTCTGTGGACCATCAGGACGAGTACCTCGGGACAGAAAAAGTTTTCTTACTTCTTATCTGCGGTTGTGCTAATCAATAAATAGCTGATTTCCCAGGGCAATTTCTTACAGTTACACACCTCTTCTCAACTCTGTTAATATACATATAAATACATACATATTGCCACTTTAATAAGATATTTGTTTTAATGTGCTTTTTTGTTTTCTTAATCTTATTCTTATTTTCCTATTCTGACATTATTCACAGAATTTGTCGGCATTGGCAGATTGTGTTACCGTTTGACAAAGCCAAGGTTCTTTATATTCAGATAACAGGTTGCTGCCTCCAGCTAATTTGTTACTAATTCAATGTCAGAGGAGATTTGAGCAATGTGTGTCGAGTCTGTATCAGCTGAAGTGATTGATTGAAGTTTTAAAGAGAACTATACACAAAGTCAAGCTATGCAGATGCAGTTGTGGGAAACTACAGACCACTGTTTTATTTTGCTAAAAATACCATGGGCTCCTTTCAGTCTAACAGCAGGGCCAGAAAACGTATTATGCAGTCTTATGAGATAACTGCTGGAGCCTTAAAGTCACCTCTTGTGCATGTTTTTAATTGTGTTGATGGCCGACAACTCTGTTCAGTATTAAGAGTATTGTATTTCAGCGTAGCTGCGGATTTGCTTTAGCTTACCAACAGCAATGGCGTTCGGTAACATTGCATGTTTGTCCCTTTCACCCGTTATTACAATAAAAGTGTCATTATCAGTGTCATTGTAAAACCTGGCTGTGTCCTTTAAAAGGAGGCCAGTCCCTCCCCTCTCTGCCAATTCCCTATTTGTCATTATCAGTTATTACCAGCTATAACTGACAATCACATAGAAAGTCAGCGGATCATTAGACAGAGCGGAGTGAAAGGAAACGCTGCAGAAAAGATCACAGAGGAGAACATCTGGAAATAAAGAGAGACAATGCTTCCACAACTGGTTCTGCTCACAGTCCTTGGGCTCACATGGACTAAAGGTTTCTACTGTTTGCTTCATTTATTGCTCATGTCACTCATGTCAAAATCCGACGGGATGTTGAACGGTTGTTCATAATGGTGTTCTCGTTTCAGTAACTGGACTGCCTTGCACTCAGATGTTTCCCTCTCAGCTTCCCCCTTCAAATGGTAAATCAGATTATTTCATTTTACACTTCAACTCTTCTGTAATTATGAGGGAATTTTTGTATATTATTCTTGTTTCAATATATCTTTTTTTAGCATACTATAATTTGACAGACCTAAGTTACTGAAAAACTTTTGAAATATTTACTCAAATAACATTTTCACTGCAGGACTTTTCCTTGTCGTGGAGTACTTCTGTGGTGTAGTCAATCATCTGTGTCTGTATTTCCTTCCGTTACAAAACCATTTTGTATCTTATTTACAACATAGAAAATCCCCACGGCCCTCAGAGCTCTGATTCAATTAAAACAATTTCTTTCCCTCAAGTTAACATCGTTAAACCGTCAGATGTGGCTGTGCTTTCCTCCGTTGGACTTCAACCTCACAGGTGAGCAGAGTCAGTTTGATCCATTAAGTGATATTTACACCAGGAGGTTTGAAATTCAATAATGTAGACACAGAATTAACCCGCGATCGTGTCTTTTCCCGCAGCCCTGAGCTGACTGCGCTGGTATCAAGACTCAGAGGTAAGATTCAAAGTTGTAATTGGTTGCTTGTTGCTAATGTTCACAGGACCTTGTTGGGCCAGATGTTTCTTAGATAGGTGACCTAATTACCTTAAAGGGTGAATTACTTCCCTCTCATTCTTCACACTGCCATTGAACAGCTTTGATTGGAAATCAAATTTGACTTTACCAACTAATGACAAACAGTTTAAATACACGTAATTACCTTTTTGAATGCCATTCATGAATTAAAATGTTATCAATTTCATAGAGATAAAGTACTATGTGACACAATGCCGGAAACAACTTTTACAGCGTTTACAGATTCATGCTGTTTGGTTGCAAACTTTCAACAAATCCTATAATTATTGTTAGACATTTTCTCTCATTTGACAACCTTAATAATTAATACATTACTTCTAACCTCTGCTGTGGTTTCAACTACGGGAATAGAACGTCTCAGTGTTGTTGTCAACTTGTTTTCCCGTCTCTCCATCAGAGCTGATGACCCAGTTCAACCCTGCACTCATCAGTCCTCCTCCACACGAAACAAACCTGGACGCCTCTCGGTTCGTTCAACACACGTACGGACAGCACTTTCTGTAACACGTGACATGTCGTACCAAGGGCTGTGGCTGCATCCGATGTTTGCTTGTTTCCTCCTTGTTGCAGCACGCTGGTGGAGCAGGCGAAGGGACTGTCCCTCTCCTTCCAAAACAGTCAGGTAGTCCGCGCTGCCATCTTAAAGGATAAGAAAAGATTAGATTATTCAAAAAGGGGAAATGATTCGGGATGTGTTCTCTTGTTCTGTTCCTGCAGGTCATTGATTTGGATAACGATTGGAAGCTGGTCCTTCTCTTTGTTCAAGTGGATCAGCGGTGTGCTTGTGAGCGGCAGCAGGTGAACAGCGAAACACTTTATTACTGATGTTACAAAACTATGTAACATCGAGAGATTGAGATTAAGGAAAAATATCTGCATTGTCTGAGCTGTTTCTTTTGATGTTGACCCCCCCAAAAACGAGTTAAACTTATCATCGTCTGGCATATTAATATGTAAGAACACAAATTATAGATCATAGGTGTAATGCTATTTTGGCCAGAAATCCTTAATGGAATTGTGAAATGTTTTGCACTACTAACGCAACTGCTATTAATTCCCTTAGCGCCGAGGTTGTCTTTTTATGAATTTGCAGAAATTCTGCTTCACATCTTCCCTCAGGATCAAACTCTTTGCTGATGGAGTGTTTTCTGCAGGCGGCATGTGTAGCTCACCTATATAGCGGAGCCGGTTCCCCATTTACACAGACCTTGCCTTTGATACCACCATTAAAGCCATACATTCTCTATGGTATTTAGTTTTAGATTCTTAAACAAGTCAGGGAAATGCTTGACGTGCGATAGATTGATATGAAGGTTACTGAAGTTGTAGACTGTTGTGTTTGTGTGAAGTTTCAGTCTGTTATCAAAGCCGTGGTTGGAGAGGTGGATGATGCTCTGCAGCTGCTGCACTCTGAGGTATATTTCACATTGTGTATTTTCTATTCAGTAGCTGTAACTGCATTGCTTTTATTTACAAAGTTGACACTTTGTTTCACGCAGCTGAAGCGAGCCATTGTCAGTGTTGCATTGTGGGTTGGAGAACATGACAACTTCCACAACAAGTGAGTTCATTGGGAAAAACAATTACTTTCTGGCCTGATGAAATGAGTCATTTTCCGAAAAAGAAAATATTAATTTTCTTCTCCTAATAGTAATATGTAGGATATATTTTAACAAGCAGATCTTTTGCAGTGAGAGGATATGTCGATGCACAGAGACGAATAATGAAGGAGAGGCCAGGCTTCGGGGGGCCATGCTTAGTCACGCTCTGCAGGTCTGTTGATTATTTGCATCATAATACCAGATAGCTTCATTCAGTCCTTTTAGCTGTTATTTTTTTTACCAAGCAGGAGTCTTTGGATGAGCTTGTGATAAAGAGGCGTTGGTACGGGGACAGAGACGACTTCGCTGTCGTTGTGCAGGACACGCCTTTCATCACAGGCCCTTCTTCCGTCTCCGTGAGTTCACTTGAACCATTTGGCATCCCTTTGTTCATCGGTACTGGAGGGAAAGACGTTGTCATCGATCACAACTGGCTTTAGTGCTGCAAAAATCAGTGGTGTGTGAATGGATGTGTCGCGTTTGAGTCTTTTTGAAAAAGGCATTTTAAAAAGTTAAAACTAGAGTAGAGCAGAAGGCTTCAGTCTATGATCAGTAAAACAAAAAGCTGCGTATTCCTTGTTTGGATTTACGTCAGCAGGGTTACGTAAAATGCTTCTGCTGGGTACAAACATTTTGTAATTCATCGGTAACTGGGTTTCTCCCTTTTAACGTCAACGCAGGATTACAGCCATGCTTCAAATGCCTTGCTGGATGATCAAATTAAACCAAACCCAGAAACGTTTTAATCGAAACACAAAGGAGGCGACCCCTAATGCTCGTAACGTATTTGTGTGTACTGGCGCTCTGTATGTTTGTAAAAGAAAATGTAATCTGAGAATCCTGCACGCAGTTTGTTCCAGTTACGGATACTTGTAGTCCTTGTAATCTTATTGATAATGTACGTTTTGTATACAACGCAGAGTACAATTATGATGTTTCCTTTTTCTTAACAGATTGGGGAGCCTCCCTCTGCGCGGCGAGCAGCACAACAAGCTGATAAACTGATGTTGCAGATGTGGACAAACCTGGTGAGGCCTGAAGCAATCTGATCAACCTCCACACTCTCTTTCCTTCTCATTCGGACTGGATCTGGAAACCACTGTGAAAATGTACTTTTAATCAAAGTCTTAAAAGTAAAAGTAGTCATTCGCAGACATTTTTTCCATGTCAGTGCTTATATATATGTTTAAAATATATATTTATTACTGCTAAATTAATGTTCATTGAAGTGTTGCGGATATTTAAGATAAGCAGATGATGTGAACTACTTCATATACTGTTAAGTAGTTTAATCTAACAGCAATGCATTCAATTCAAGGATCATAGTGCATAGAGCATTACTTTCTAAATAGTTCATTGAGCATGAGGAGTTGGATAATGTTCTCAATCCATAAAGAAAGATTCAATACTACAGTTTATCGCAAAAAGATCAAATGTATATTCACCATTTTAAGAGATACATGGAAATATATAATAAAAATAGTAACTAAAGCTGTCACACAGATTTAGTGCAGTAAAAAGTATAATGTTTATGATTGAGTAGAAGTATAAAGTTCTACAAAATGGGAAAACTCAAGTAGAGTCAAAGAAAATTGAATCTGTGTATAAATACAGTACTTGAGTATATGTTCTTGGTTACATATTGCCACTGCACATACATTACCACAAACAATGAGTTGTCTGTCTTTCAGCTGCAGCCCGTGAGTGGCCAACATAAGACAGAAGAAAACATTATTGCATTGCTTTGTCCGGCTGAGGTTAGTAGCTGTGCCACAATCTCACATGCATGAAGTTGTATCAAAATGCAACTTTTTGAATTCGATCCCTCCTCCACCATCGGTTATCTGCCCCCCGCCATCCTCCCGCCCCCCACAGGACCGACCATTCCTGAGGACGGAGGGAAACTCTCCTTCATATCCTCATATAGACGTCTCTCCTCTCGTCCAGCCAGTGAGTACAGCGTGGTATCGAGCCTGAATGGAGGTCATGGCGGCGTTGTATGCTTCCTGGTTGGTTCTGACTGTGGATCTGCTTTGTGTGTGCGCTCAGTTTACAGGCACAGAGATGCCCTGCGAGGACCTCAGTCCCTCACCCTCCACACCCGCCTCAGGTACAGTGAGATGGTTTCTCCTTTCTTCATTCAGAATGTGTATTCATGTGTCGTTTTTCCATCGGCTTCTGATAATACAAGATGTGGATATTGAAGTTGCTTGATAAGTTAACATAACATTTGTATTTATATCACATGAACAGACAAAATAAAGTCATTAAAAAATATGCAACACGTGTACAGTACCAGTCACAAGTTAAATTACCATGAACGTTATTTTTGTATTATGTGATGTTGCTTCTAATAATCCACTATTTCTTTCAATTACTGCTGTATTTTTTCCTATTATACAACATTTCTAACTTTCAAACCTCTTTGCTATTATATTTATATTTGATTGTATTACATCACAGTCTCTGCGAAAGTATTATGTAATCTAACTTGTTAATCTTACAGCCTTTACGGTGCTGACTCGTCTCCTTTATTTTCCCAGTGCATGAACTCAGGCCTGGAGATATCAAAGTGGTGGCTGCAGTGGGAGACTCTCTGACAGTCAGTCATTTTATCTTCTTTTTTTTTATAAGTAGATCTAATGTTACAGTCGTGCACAGTCCTTATAATCTAAATTATGAGGTGGAATTAAATATATGAAATAAAAACTTATCACAGATCCCAGAAGATTTTTCTGTGTGATGAATGTATATTTAACCACAAGAAGATGTAACAGTTAGTGGCGTAATCATTTAGAGATGGATGTGTACGTAGTTATAGACACAAAGAAAGGGTCTGAAAAGTGCAAGACAACAGATATTATTGCAAAGATACAACACACGGACGTGTATTAGTAATCTGTATAAATGCTAAACATTAAATGACCTGATATTTGTATCCGAACCACATCAAATGCCGCATGATGACATTTTAACATCTCACTACTGCAGTTTTTTTAGATGTATTAAAATCTATTTGATTAATTTAAAATATAATCAATAATGAAAACAGTCAGACTTGATTACAGCGAGATTTGGCTTAAATGTGTGAAAAGGCCAAAGACTAAAAGTCCTTGATAGATATTGCCAAGATAATCACTTAAATAAGAATTTAGTGAAACGGTAACAAATCTGTATTATCCAAAGTCGGAGAAGAGTCGGATGTCCTGGTTTTTTGTTAAATTGGCAGAACTCCTGTTTAATTTCCGTGTTACTGAAACATTTTCCTGCTTCATCTGTCAGGCGGGGAATGGTATCACATCCGGCCCCAATCAAATCCTGGATGTCTTGACCCAGTACAGAGGTTTATCCTGGAGGTAACTTAAGACATGGCAACATAATGCACATGTTATATGTCTGTAGTGCAGTGTTGGCATGAATGTGGTTCTATGACCATCGGTTTCTAAAGTTGGATAGCAGTCTCAATCTTAACATAAAATCATGTTTTTTGCAGTATTGGTGGAGATGAAAACCTCACAACTGTCACCACGCTGCCCAGTGAGTCTTCTTAATGGGTTGTCACCGGTTATAGATATCGTAAAGGCGCGTTTTGTCGTAGTGGGATTTTTATTGTTCTCTTCTTTTATCTGTTTTAACAGACATCTTAAAACATTTCAACCACAACCTGACGGGCTATTCTGTTGGAAAGGGCAAGCAGCAAACGCCTCAGGCTTTCCTCAACCAAGCTGTAGCGGGAGCTAAGAGCAGGTGAGTCCTATCAGAGGGTCAAAGCTGTCAGAAATATATTTTACGTATAATTTATTGTCACTGGAGATCATAAAGTAAATTCTTAAAGTCAAAAATACAGTTTGTTGCATGTAAATCATGCATTCGGGTCTTCTTCGTGGCTTTTTCCAGACCTTGAATGAAAACGATTTTATCACCATAATATAGATTTTATGAGAAAGTATAATTTAAATGGAAGAAATAAAAGTAATTTCATTTCAATATTTTATTTTGTTTGTGTTTTAAGCGGGATACCATCACAAGTTCAGGCCCTGGTGGCAAGGATGAAGAACGATTCTGTAAGTTAACTGTCAGGGTCTGGGGTGGAAGGCAGGACTCAAACGCAGACTTTTCCAAAACAAAAGACTTTAATAGTCAAAAGGTCCAAAATCCAAAAGGCAAAAACACACAGGCATGAACCCACGGAGGCGAAAGACAAGAACATGCGTGGCAAAAGACAATGACGCGACCAGTGACACAAGAGACACACGGCTTAAATACACAAGGGAGGTGCAGGTGATTGGACACAGGTGGAAACTATTAGACAATCACAGGGGACAACGGGACAAGGCAGGAAGTGAAGTTACCCGGGGACACAAGTGGCAGAAAACTACAAAATATAACATGAAGTGAACCACACCGTGACAGTTAATGCACTGAAATGTAATATTTGCACATTTTAAATCCCCACTACAGAAATATTCTCATTTAAGAACACTATATACTAGTAAACCCATTCACTCCCATTGTTGGTTCTTGCACAGAGAATCAACTTTGAATCAGATTGGAAGTTGATCACCCTTTTCATTGGTGGAAATGACGTCTGTGACCATTGCTCCAACTCCGTAAGTCCTAATTTGTAGTGATAATCCATCAGTCGTCTCAAGGAGGGACAACAAGACACAACCTGAAAATGTTTTCCTTTCATATACAGCAACTTCATTCTCAAGAGAATTTTATTCGTTATGTTCGAGACAGCCTGGATTATCTACACAAAGAGGTGAGGATTCACGTGCAGCTGTATTTTCAAATGTATGTTAGTCGGGTTGGTTGTTTATGAGCAATAACTTTGTCTCTGTCAGGTGCCTCGAGCTCTGGTGAATTTAGTAGAGCCGCTCCGTATAACGCCTCTGAGAGAAATGCACATTGACACTTCACTTAAATGTCCAACTTGGCTGGTGAAGTTAGTATCATTTTTATCTGCATTTTTTGAATCCTCACTGATATAAATGATCTGATAAGTTATTTTCAACAGTGGTGTAAAAATCTTGTTGTCCCTCCTTTGCCAGTATTCTGTGTCCTTGTGTAATTTTGCCAAAGCCCGACTCCGAAGCTCTCCAAATGGTGGAGGACATCAATAGAGGCTATCAGGTAGGGAAGCGTCCCACCCACCAAAAAACCCCCAAACAATTTAACAATGTTAAACAGTCCAGTTTATCTTCTGGTATTGAGACCTTTTCTTTCTTTCTTTCTTTCTTTAAGCGTTCACTGCATGGTCTTGTGGAATCAAGCCGGTACGACACTCGGCCAGACTTCACTGTGGTCATCCAGCCGTTCTTAAGAGACATCGTTGTCCCCAGACTGCCCGTAAGTAAAAAGCTTGGTCCGTCCCATCACTTCATCCAATACATACATAAGCCAAGGTTTAGCACCAGAATCAAGTCGGTATATATTCTTTAGTATACAGTGTTTAGCAGGGGTTTAGCATACGGCACGTAAAGTTAATGTTGCCATTTAAAACTAACCAAAATTTGCAATTTGTTGGTATTGATTTTGTCAACTATAAGTTCGACAGACGAAAAGCCTCTGCTGCTTCCGAAGTGAACTTACGCTGAAATACAATCACGTTTTCTTAAAATTGTTTTCTCGTGCAGAGTTCAATGACAGTAATTCAAAATCTATAGACCAGCTTATCATATCATAAAGACAGCAAACTGGTGGACACCGCTATTGTGGCTCTGAAGTTTACTAGATTATAAAAGTTAATTAATTATTTGACAATCTGGTATTCAACGACAAAAAGTACAGTACGATTTTTCTGGGTTAGCTGTTAGGTCGATCATGAAGAACTTTGAGAACACCAGCCTCAAAGCCGTAAAGGCTTTTGTCAAATACAGTTTCCCCCCCTCCCCCCGTTCTGTTAGTAATAAGGTTTATACATTGTGTACTTTTTTCACAGGATGGACGAGCAGATCGATCTTTCTTCAGCGCTGACTGCTTCCATCTCAGCAGGAAGGCCCAGACGCTGATGGCTCGCTCCCTCTGGAACAACATGGTAAGTATGTATATATATATTTATACAATATATTATATTATATAAATATATGTATACATTTATATATGTATATATTGTATAATATATACATATAGGTTAATCCCCATTCATTCCCAGCGTTCGTTATTTTCACAGATTCTTATGGCAATCATTTAAAATTGAATACATTTTTTAATGATCTGCTGTTACTCATGTTTTCCAGCTAGAACCTCTGGGCTATAAGACTACCAAAGAAGATTTTTCTGCAGCCACTGTGCTGGAATGTCCAACCAAGGTGGGTATTTGTTGATTAAATAGAGAGCCGGAACTCTGTATGCTGGTGATTTCTTTTTCTTTCAAAAGTATATAATATTTCTTAATATACTTTATGCTCTATGTGCTCTATATTTTAAGGCTATGATGTAATGAATCTCCTCTCCTTTGTCCGCAGGCTTCACCATATATCCGGACCTATAAAAACAGCAATTACAACTATGCTGGTCCTTCTCCAACACCAGGACCCATCACAGTAAGCATTTTCCTTCTATCTGAGAGGCTAAATACCTGAATGAAGCTAACTGTCACGGTGTGGGTTTTATTTGGCATTTTTCTGTCTTGTGTCCCTGGGTACACTTCTTGCCCTGGTGTGCTTTCTCTGCCCTTTGTGATTCTGCATTATACCTGATTGTTTCCTCTTGTGTCCGATCACCTGCACCTCCCCAGTGTATCAAAACCATGTGTGTCCCTTGTCTCCTTGGCGGTTTGTTGGTTAATGTTCGTCTTTTTGAGTCTTTTTGGTTTGTCTGATAGTCCTGGTCCCTGGTTTGCTCGTAGGCATTTGATATCCTACTTAAAAATAAGTCAAGTAGACGCCTATCCCCGGGCCTCTGGTCAGCAATCCGGTCGGCATTCCGGCCGGCCCCGATCATCGGTGTGGCCGGTCACCACCCAAGCCGACTGCGTCTTCCCGCCTCCAGTCCAGTTGCTCGACCACGGACCTCCGCCTCTGGTCGCCACACCGGCAGATCTCAGATCCGCTTTTCCAGTCACCAGAACGCCCGCTTCCGGCCTCGCCAAAACAGGCGTCCCGTCTCCTAACGCCTAAACCGGCCCTCCGACGGACCCGACATTGCAGACCCCCGACTCCTGACCCTGAAACCCCCAATTCCGGCTCCTCAATTCATGACCCTGGAAAAGCCGATTTCCCCTCTCTGACCTCGAGCCGTCCTCCCCCTGGTATTCCCGATTCGGATGGACAGTTTGCTGACAGGATGACAGGATGTCCCGGTGATTGGCCATCCCGACAGCAGCCTCCCCGAGCCAAGTTTCCATCTGTTAAATGATCTGTTTCCAGCTTCTTAAATGTCTTCAATGTGTAATTTGTTTTCCATGATTATAAATTGATTGTGAGTTAAAAAAAAATAAACACTATCAAAATGTGGACTCTGGTTTTGGGAACCTCTTACAGGATTTTCTTTCTCTATTTTAGAACTGGGGGAATGATTTCTCATGTGCGGACATTGCTCCATCTGACACAGTGCCAACTTCAGGTGAGACAGACGTTTCCATTATCAATAGACAGTAGTTATGAGATTCAATTTCCTCCTTCGTTGTGAAGCTGAAACAAAGACATCTATGCACACGAGTGAGACTTTAAGGGCTTAATATCAACGGCACCGTTTATCACCTGGATTGTGTCACGGGTCTAGTGAGCACACACGTGCCCTCCTCATTGTTGATCTTTTTTTTACATCTCCATGGCTCCACCGGTAACCACAGTTTTAAAATCACAGTGCTATGCATTGTGGGTTATTCCCGTGGAAAAAGTCTGCAGAAATGCACGCTTCATAACCCCTAAACGAAGAGGTCCATAAAAGGCTGAACATGTGCGCATAAGAGCGCATGGCTGCCGTAAATAAGAGAAGCTCACAGTGAGAGATGGTTGGATGCTAAATATCATATTGTACAGCAGTGTGGTTTATCTTGATGACAGTACGTTTGAAACTCTTTTATGTCTTTAATTCTAGTTCACAAGCTGAGACCAGCAGACATCAAGGTGGTGGGAGCACTGGGAGACTCCTCGACGGTTCGTGGCACAAGAGCATATTATAGTACATGAATTTGCACGTGTTTAACACAAACTGTGAGCCCGTGGAGCCTGTTGAGAGTTATTAAACTATGGACTCTCTAATGAATTTGTTATCAGCCACATAACTTCTTTTATGTGTTTAGCTTTTGATACAAGACTAAGCTTTGTCGGTGTCGCATTATATTCTGCCAGATTTTATTTATGTTTTCCAATTATTTAACTCTCTGTTCACAGGCAGGCACGGGCGCTAAGGCAAAGAACCTGTTTGACCTGAGTAAAAACTATAAAGGAGTATCATGGAGGTGCGACATGAATGTTGTATTAACATTTACATCAACCACCATATTTAACAAACCATGCTGATATTTTTGGGCCTTTCTTGCAGCATTGGGGGAGATAATACTCTGGAGACGGTCACAACACTACCAAGTGAGTTCATGACACTTGTTTTGGGAAAATATCCTGTTTCTGTATATGTGACAAAAATAATACTTCTGACATCATGAGTCAGATGATCCTTTGTAGTATTACAAATGTTTAAGAAATTAAACCGTTTTCTTCATGTCCAGATCTGTCATACATAGATAGTCTGCTCTCATATGAGGCACAATTTCTGCTGTTTTTTAGGCTCTAATACCTGAAAGGAAGCCAACATAACCTCACTTGTAGTCTCGAGGCTAGTTAATTAGATGAAAACTTTTACCCAGCTGCTCGAGCGATGGGAAGCCGCTGTGCATTACCTCACAGGTACTCCATCCTTTTCCCTCTTCTCAGACATCTTGAAGAAGTTCAATCCTTCCTTAAAGGGCTTCTCCAAAGGCCAGGGCTCCATAAAGCAGGCCTTCAACTTAGCTTCACCTGGAGCTAAGGCCTCGTATGTGCAAATTATTCTATTTCCTCCATCCCAGGTTAAACACTTTTAAACCATCCAATTCAACCCTTATTTACTTTTACTTGCGTGTGATTACAGAGACATCCCAAAACAAGTCCAAGGTCTTATCAAGGCAATGAGAGAAAATAAGGTAACACTTCTCTGAGAATAAATTATTACATCATATTTCTTCAGTGGTTTCTGCCTCTTCTCACGTTCTATGAACACGACATACAGGAGGTGAATTTCGAGATGGACTGGAAAATTGTGACAATATTTGTTGGAGGAAATGATCTTTGCAATTACTGCATGGAACAAGTAAGCTTTCTATGAAATGTGTTTATTGTACATACATAACCACACCACACTCTTGCTTTTCTAAGCTGCAGTACAAACAAAAAATCCACATTTCTCTACAGAATAATTTGTTGCCCAAGAACTACAGCCAGAATATAATGCTCAGCCTGGACATGTTTTACAAAGAGGTGAGATATGAAAAGCGATACATTATTGTCTTCTTTTGTCCTTGGTAGTACACGCGTGTCATGTTTTCTTCTTCTGTCTCTCGCTGAATTTTTAGGTACCACGGCTGTTGGTTAATCTCGTGGAAATCTTGCAGATAGACACGTTGAAATCGGTCAAGAGGAACACGCTGGGCTGCTCCCTGTTACAGAGGTTGGTTTTTCTCTCAGCTGTTTAAGCCAGACATCTAAGCATCTTGGTCTGGTTGAGGAAATACATGTTTAAAGGTGACATGCGATTTATGTATTCAAAGCATGTATTCGCTGCCTTAAAATGTGTGCAAAAAAGGACAACATTTGGTGTTGCAAATACCTGGTTAATTTATATTGATTCATATAAAGTCTGTGCTACTGTTAACCTCTAGAACCATGTATTTCCAATTGATCAGTCTATAATTTGAATCTGGATATCAAGAATCTGAGCAAGGTGTATGATTTGGGAGCAGCTCCTTTCTCATCTCAGCAAAGACGTAATGAACAGGAATCTATTTTTCACAGGAACCGCTGTCCCTGTATCGTCAACCCAACTGAAAACTCCCCGGAGCTTCAAGAGATAAGACGAGTCAACCGCGAGTATCAGGTAAAAAAGAGCTCTTTCAATCATTTCAATTTCAAAATGTGGTTCCCTTAGTAATTCCTCCAATTCTTTCCCCCCAGGCTGAGATCCAGCATCTTATTTCTGGAAATCGCTATGATGGAAAAGAAGATTTTGCTGTTGTCCTTCAACCCTTTTTACGGAATTCCTTCATTCCTTATGTTGGAGTGAGTGACAGTGGCATGTAAATGCATCCGAACAAGCATCCAGACATAAATAATGAAATGTACCCTTCCTAATAACAAACTCTTTCCCCAAGGAGGGTGAGGTTGATTCAAGTTTCTTCTCTGTGGACTGTTTCCACATAAGTGAGCGAGCTCATGCTGAGATGGCCATTGCCCTGTGGAATAACATGGTGAGCATGGACCAGTAATGGACCAGTAATGGACCACTAATGGACCAGACTGCACCAGAGCGGTCACTGTGTCCAAGTGGTTTTTGGTGGATTCAAATCTTTCTGTTTCTGCAGTTGGAGCCCGTCGGCCAAAAGCAGACCTACAATAACTTCACGTACGCTCGCTCCAAGATTCACTGTCCCTCTATGGTAGGTGTGGAGAGAAATCCTTGCGCCCGCAACTCAAATCAATATTGTTTCACCAAACTCAAATCACATTTGTAATTGGTGTTGAATTCTAGGTTTCTCAGTTTTATGGAAAACAGTCAATAAGTGAAACAGTCAAAAAGAATATGACAGAATAGACAAAGACAAATCTAACAAAACAGTTAACTTGTAGAATGAGCCAAGACATTTTTAAAACACTGCTCTAATACAATTAAATATATAAGAGATAACAACTAGGAAATAATAATAAGAAGTGTAAAATGTGATTGGGAAAATAGCTCGAAATAGAAAAGACTAAAATGGCCTTTTGAAATAAAAACAATGAGCTTCATTTCAAATATGTAGCATATTATCCCACAATCCCACAACCCATTATTTATTTGGATAATTATTTCACTGTGTCACGTCTATTTAATATAAAGCCTTCACTATAACCCGACTCAAGCCATCTTCCGTATGTATTAAAAGTTCTTTATTTCTAATTTTCCTACCTAAGCCATGGTTTGTTTCCTATAGGCCAGTCCCTTCATCTTCACTAAGATCAACAGCCTGCCACCAACCACAAGTCCACCAACCACAACAGCTGCCACCTTCACCACGACTGCCACCAGCCGGTGTTCTCCCTCGCTGCCCGAGTGGGTGCCAGTGATTGTTGGAATTGGAGGTTTACTCGTTGGCTTTGTTATTGCTTGGCTAGTTCTCTCCAGCTGTCAGCGTCGTAAAAGTAAAGTGGAGAAACCTGTAGAAATGAAACGAACCCTTTTTTGATATAGTTGTTTTAGCCTTTAAGCAGCATCAACCGCTTGTCTTACCACTAGAGACTCTCACACTTGTTTGGAATATTTCTTGACTATTTAGAACCTGGATAGAACCCTCACAGCCACATGAGCATCAAATAGACACTTTGTTGAATCCAGATGTGTTGTGCATTTATCGTCTCCTTTTTTATTTTTCGATAGAATCCCTCGAAAATAAATCCCTCTAATAAAGGAAACACGGTTATTTGACTTTTAAGACAATAATACTGTACCTACTATGTGTCTTCATTTCTGAAGTCTCTCGATTGAGTTGGTTGAAAGTTTCTATGGACACTTGTGCTATGTCAATTGTTTATTGAGTTTATTCTGATCCATCAACTTATACATATATGTACACATGTATCTGCACAAGTCTGTTTGTCATGATCTATCTATGTTGCACAATTATTTAATAAATTCTAGCGTAAGTTGATAATTTGTTATTCAGTGATTTTCCTGAAGCTCAGCTCGGAATAATTAAATACTATATAAGAGCACCAACATAGAATGCAGGATGTGAGTAGTTTGATAATCAAGGCAAACATTGCACCTCCGTTCTCAAGAAGAAGTAAGGAAGAAAGCCTCCTCTATTGTGTGCTCAAGGTGGTAGAGGGCCACGGCTATGACTAATGAATCCTGCAGGCCAGATATTGCCCTCCTAGCTCTTTGGACGCGGCCTGTTTGCTGGGTTTGGGCTCCTGACACTTTGACTACAGCCCTTTCTGTGCCCCTAATCCATCCTGCAGTGATGCATCAACGTGCGTAACATTTGCAACTAAGCGTGCGTGAGCCTTAATGTTTGCAGACCTTGTTGGTGCTCAGAAGTGTTTGTTTCTCTTGCACCTAATTATCTTTGACTGAAATGGCCACACAGTTGTTCCCAAACCCTCCAAAGCAAAACAATGAGAACAACTTCTGTAAAGATAAGTCTAATATATATATTACTTCTCCCAAGTTTTTGTTTGTTGTGCATATTCTTTCTTGTGATACTTAAATGGAAAACTGACTATGATTAAATATCACAAGACAAGTGGTCTGTTTATAAGCCATTATATATTTTGGTCTAATTTTTTTAAAAACTTTTTTTCAATACATTAAAAAAATACCTCGTGATTGTTTTAATTGCAATACTTGAGTGAGTTAACTTAGTGAGTTAACCCATGCTGCTAACGTGTACTTCTGTGCGTGTGCCTGACAGTGGTGTCGCTGGCTCCTTTGAGCCTTCAGTCAGTCCTCGGGGCTATTTGGCCCATTTCCCTGCCTCTGTGAGTATCACAAACATGGCGGAAAGCGAATTGAACGTTGACAGCCTCATATCTCGACTACTGGAAGGTACTGTACCACTGCGATAACCCGTCGTCCCGTGTTTTTCATCAAGAAAACGACTGAATTGTCCGTGATTGTTTGTAACTAATAACTTCACGACATGCTACAAACACGTTAGCATCGTTGCTGTCGTTCAACCCACAAGCTAACTTTAGCCATTGCATTATAAGCCCTGTGCTGCAGAATAAACCTCACGTTAAACGATATTAAACGTTATTTTGATGTCTCTGTTCCTTGTAGATAACGTTATCTATCAGCTAATGTCGGAGTGTTAATCAACGTCAGCAGTGGCACTGTGCGCAAAAAGGGAGAGTGGCGTAACAATTAGCCGGCTAGAGAGCTAGCGTTAGCTGTCGATGTTGTGACGGCTAAACTGGCCGACGTTACGTTGGCAGAGTCCGGGCAGGTTCCTGTTTTTCGTCCCCATGTTCGGCAAGTTCATGTCTTTTCGCCATGTAATGGGAAGAGAAAGAAGTGCTTAATTGTGTGATTGCCAAGTAAGGTTACTAGCCGTTCCGCTTGGCTAGGCGGGTTGCTAGCACGTCGGCTAACACCCAGGGCACGCCCCCCTTACGAAATAAACCACTAAAACCTTCATAGCCAAGTTTGGTCCCTGACCAAATACAAAAACTGCTGATGACCACAATTGTGTTTTATGTCAACCAAAACAAAAATCAGACAAAATACATAAACTCCACTCCCATTGCCATTTTGGGGAATTTGTATGCATATTTGTTGTGATCACTGGCAGGGTCACTTTATGCTTAATCATTTTGATGTAATATACTTACTCAGCCCAGTTTTTGAGAATCTGCTAAAGCTGAATTATTTTGTCCTGCAGTGCGAGGATGTCGTCCAGGAAAGGTTGTTCAGATGACCGAGGCTGAGGTGCGGGGGCTCTGCATCAAGTCCAGAGAGATTTTCCTGAGCCAGCCGATCCTACTAGAACTGGAGGCTCCACTCAAAATCTGTGGTGAGAACAGCCTCTTATTACCTTTTTTTTTCAAATTCTACATCTATCCCAGTGGAGGGTGATGAGAAAACACATAATGTTGATAGTTAGAAGCCACCCTGATAACAGCACAATGTTAAAAACAACAGTTTTTACAACTCAAATGGATCTGTGCATTCATTCCACATTATTGATGGTAATGTTACTTGCAATATTGTGACACCATTGAGAAAGTGGATCAACGTGTCCCTGCAGGTGATATCCATGGGCAGTACACAGATTTGCTGAGGCTGTTCGAGTATGGAGGTTTCCCGCCTGAGGCCAACTATCTGTTCTTGGGCGATTACGTGGACAGGGGGAAGCAGTCGCTGGAGACCATCTGCCTGCTGCTCGCCTACAAGATCAAATACCCAGAAAACTTCTTCTTGCTCCGAGGGAACCACGAATGTGCCTCCATCAATCGCATCTACGGCTTCTATGATGAGTGTAAGTTGGAAAACAGACTTGTTATAATACGTGCATACGGAATTGTTAATGTAGTAGCCCAGTATTATTATTCCCGATTCTCTTTTTTTTAAACGTTCTTGTATGCCTTTCTTTCCTCAGGCAAGCGCAGGTTTAACATAAAACTCTGGAAGACCTTCACAGACTGTTTTAATTGTCTGCCCATCGCTGCGATTATTGATGAGAAGATTTTCTGCTGCCATGGAGGTTTGTGAAGCGTCTGAGTTGCATTGTAGCCACTGAATAATGTGGATAATACATTTTTCACTGAAATCAAAGTCCACCTGGTCATGGGATTTGAATAAAGGCTGGTATTTTTATTTATTATTTATTTATCAGCGTTCAGTATTCAATAAGGGGTGCATTTTTTTGTAATCGCAATATTAAATGCAATGTTAGAGTATTTTCAGTGATGCAACCACATTTGTGTAAATTATAAATCATTCATTATTACGTTATGGTGCTATTGAGAATATAATTGTTGTCTTCAGGGCTCTCACCTGATCTACAGTCCATGGAACAAATCCGCCGCATTATGAGACCCACTGATGTCCCAGACACAGGTCGGTTGAGCTTGTGTGGACATTATCTTGTTGAGCTGATTGCAACAGGCTGTAGAGGTTTCTATACAAGTCTGTACAGCCCGGTTCGTTGTAGATAGCTGATTGTGTTGATTGACTGCTTAGAATTATTGTTAAGAATTTGACAATTCATAAAAATGCTTGTTGTGATCGACTGCTTGAGATTGTTTGATTGTTTGTGTCAGGCTTGCTGTGCGACCTGCTGTGGTCAGATCCAGACAAAGACGTCCAGGGCTGGGGGGAGAACGATCGGGGAGTTTCCTTCACCTTTGGGGCAGACGTGGTCAGCAAGTTCCTCAACCGCCACGACCTGGACCTCATCTGCAGAGCACATCAAGTAACTTGTGATTTGACATTAAGAGAAGATCTACTTCCCTGTGTGTTGACTTGTATGTTGACACTACTGAATAGACTTTTGGTTTAGTTTTTTGTCAATAAACCCTGAGAATTGTAATTACTTATTGTTTTAAGAGCTGCTACTTATTTTTAATTGTTATTCTGATTTATCTATTAATATTTTTGCCCTGTAAAATGCCAGAAAATAGTGATGGTGCTAGCAATCTTCAGTGATAGATCCTCTTTTCTTGATCAACTTGTTTCATCGGTTATCTTGCTGCCGTACAGGTTGTTGAAGACGGTTATGAGTTCTTTGCCAAGCGACAGCTGGTGACGCTGTTCTCCGCCCCCAACTACTGCGGGGAGTTTGACAATGCAGGCGGCATGATGAGTGTGGACGAGTCCCTCATGTGCTCCTTTCAGGTAGAGAACTCTTGCCTTGTTGTACCGTAACACGAACGCTGACCTCTTTTGAATGTATTCATCGGCACCATCGTTCTTTCTTTCAGATCCTGAAGCCGTCAGAAAAAAAGGCAAAGTACCAGTACGGAGGCGTGAACGCGGCCCGGCCCGTCACCCCGCCTCGTACCGCTCAGGCCCCGAAAAAGAGGTGAGCGGCTGGCCTTGACTCTCCTGCTCGTCCCCCGGTTTATCTCTGTCCCGCGTCCCTGCAGGCTGCCTCAAACACTCCAGCCTTCTCTCAGCCAGCTTGTTCATGTGTAAAAAAATAAATAATTAAAAATTAAAAAAAAAAAAAAAAGCGAGTGTCTTATGCTTGTTTCTGTGGGTGTTTTTATGAACATGTATTTTTCATTTTCTTATTTGATGCCATGGTCTGCATTAACTCAGCCCTGCTGCTCACTCCATTCGGCAATATTTAAACCAAACCGTGCAATGGGAAAGCTGTTAAGACACGTTGCTTCTCTTCCTTCACATGAACTATTCCCATAGTGATTTTGTGAACGCATGCCTGCTTGTGAGATGGAGATGGGTTCTTTGTTCTGTAAAACCCGTTCATACTCAAACGGCTCCAATTGTTTTTCATCCTTCTGCCATTGCCCACTTATCTGGTGGATGAAGTGCTACACTGCTTAATGGAATAGTTCTGCATTTTGAGAAATGTGCTTGTATGCTATCCTGTTGAGTTGGATAAGAAAGTCTATACCACGCTCTGTCAAATATGAAACGCGTCAGCTGCTGGCTAATGTAGCTTAGCAAACAAGTGGAACAAACATGAAGCATTGTTCCTATTTACATGCACTCTCTGCAACAAGAGAATTTGACTTTTTTTAGTTAGATTGCTATGACTTTCCCTTAGACTTAATGTTTTATCCTCAGAGATATCATTAATTTCCAGATATTTTGATGGTATGAGAAAAAAATAATTGTCAATATTCCAAGCGTAATTGTGTTAAAGCCTATTTAGATCTGTAAATTTTGGTGAGTGAGTAAAGCGATTACAGTAGGTGTGTAGAAAGACAAAGGAAGATCTCGCTGGGAAAAGGACAGGATTTAACTAGAATTGGTGTCATTACGTTCATTTTAACAGTAGATTTTGACCTCGTGCATTGTTGCACTTCTATTTAGGCCGGTCATAACTACTTATGTTGGACCATGTATTTTCCCAGGAATATTTGCCATTGGTTATTATATTAATAATATTGATTTAGGACTATTTGATGTTGCTTATGTGATGATTATTTAATAGCATAATAGGAGCAATTACTTAACACAATTGACAAGTCTTGTAATGGGAGGAACAGTTGGCTAAAATGAATCTTATGTAAATAAACATGCACTTCGTCACAACAGGGAATATTGACCTCAAAGATGATTGAAGTTTTGTCAATTATACGATAAATTGATAAATGATTGAGGTTATGTCCATATATTGTATAAGTGGTTGATGTAATTATTGTAACAGGGCATTCATTGTAAAGACGTCAAAATCCTCAAGGCAACACAACGATTTTTGGATTATTGCTGGCTAGTTGTATTGGTTAAATATTTCCCACTTATTAATGAACACTGAACCGACGGGTTTTTTGTTTGTTTAAATCTTTCCTTTTGCTTTGTAAATTTATCAGTCTTCAAGTTGGAAACAGTTAAGACGTTTTGAGATTTGTATGAGTTTGTTTGAAACGAGTGAAATAAAAGGTGTTGAGCCTGCTCTGTTTTTTTTAAAGTCCCGAATAGACAAACGTGGGAGTTAACTATGACCAGTGAAGTCAGAGGTACATTTAAATATGTCATATAAAATCTGTATTGTTTGACAAAAAAGGCATCGTATTATGTAAAGAAATCGCGTAGTTTATCTTTCGATATGTTGAGAAATGATATTTAGAAATTAGTCATAGAATATAGACTATAAAATCCTTTTATGTTACCAACTCATTTTAAAAAATCAGCCGAGAAATTAAAAATAAAATTTAGAGTATAAATTAATAGGATTTAGCAAAGTATATAAAAGTTATAGTCCGTCAGGAAATGCATACTATACTATGTAATCAGAAACGTCTACTGCTGTGTACATTCTAAAATGTTTGAAGCAGAAGATTTCTTCCCCTGCACCAAACTAGCACGCTGAGAGCCGCTTAGTAAAGCGTTGATCTGTAACGGGAACATCAGCGGGCCAACGTTTGGGTCACCCTCCCACCGAGCACATCCTGCAAGCCGAAGAGGAGGACATGGACCACAAGGGATGTTATTCCCATTTGTCAATAAAATATCCTAAAAAGAACAATCAGTAAATATCAAATATTTTATGAAAGATTCATATTTATCAAAGCAAATTCATTTGAACAATTATATTTTATAAGTTCATAAAACTGAAGGTTTAAATGCCAGAAAACATTCTGGCAAATGAAGAAACAAAACAATATATGGTATATTGTAATCAGTTCAGTTTAACAGATTACATAAAAAGATTTCTTCATAGCACCACCACCCAGAATTTTTAAAGATGAATGAATAACTAAGATACAACAAAAGTAAATACTTGGCTGGTCAAGGCAGTTCATCATCAATATATCCATAAAGAAAACCTGCTGATAAATTGCAGTCAAGTGAATCATTTAGAACTCCTCAATCAACGTTTAACCCATAAAACTGTTAACGACAATTTGGGATTTCTTCGAGTTAGTTTGAAATGAATGGTAACCAGTTAATTAAATAGTGCATGACACAAAACCATAGCAGAGCATATAGAAGAAGGATTTTGCAAAGTGTGGAAGAATTATTAGTGTTACATCTCTGAATTGTGAACATTGACTGCTAATGGTGTGATTTCTGAAGAAGATAGACGTCAACCCGACTTGAGGGCCTGCAGCACTGACTGTGGTACTCTGCTGACATAGTACTCATGGTTTCGTAGTGTTGCAAGTACGCCGGCCGAATTCATGTGCTTGACGTTCGCGTCATAGCGGTATGCATTGCCATGGATGTCAGTCAGTTTACCTGCACGAGGAAAAAGGAAAAATAAACTCTTTTGGCAGTAATTCAAAGACGAGTAAGCTTTGCATTTTGTAAAACGGAACGCCTGGACTGAACCCTAAAGATTCAAACCGTAGAACTATATTGCTAGTTTGGTTTAAGATACTTTTATTTAAAACATCCTGCCACAGAATTGAGTGTTTTTTTTACCTCCAACGGCATGCAGGATGGCTTCGGTAGCGCATGTGTCCCACTTCTTGCACCCTGGACTGGCGAAGACATAAGCGGAAGCCCTCCCTTCAACGAGCTGGATTATCTGAAGAGAGAAGATTTGATAAACATAAACTCTTTACACAAAAGGAGCTTTTAAAATACGTACTGGCAGCTATAAAACATCTTAATTGTGGACATGAGACACCAGGTTAACTTGGGTTAATGCCCCACAATAATTCAATTCAATTCATTTTATTCTATATAGCCCAAAATCGCAAATTACAAATTTGCCTCAGAGGGCTTCAAAGTCTGTACACGTACCCACCATCGGCACAGGAAAAACTCCCCAAATAATGTCAAAACTAGAGTATTTAGCAACAGTGAGTATTTCAACACGTACATTTTCTATCCAGTGAGAAATCTTATAGCTGAAATGCTTTGTGCAAAATAGCAATGATGCACAGAAAGAGATGTTATTTTCAATTACATACAAGTGTCATTTCACACCATCCCCAGAGTGATTGTGGAGCATTAACATGCAACATGGCTTTGCTAGTGAATTTGTAATTAAGGAAACCAGTGCGCAGACCTTTATCTATATTGTTGAAATCATTTCTGATCAGAGACGTGACCAGGCTTGCTGCTCTATGTGGAATTCATCCCTACATGAGACTGTAAAAACACAGGTTACATGTTAACAACCTTACAGTCTAAATCCACCTCACCTTGTTGCCAGCACCACCCACTCTTACAACCTCGTGAGGCTCCATGGCGTCCACACAGTCCGTCACCAGCTTGTTGCTGTGGGAACGCGTGGTGGTGACAACGCGTCGGCCACCTGGAACTTCCTGCAGCTCAAATCCAAAGGCCCCCAGTCCGGGTATTCCCCACAGGGTCCTTCCTAAAGCTGCTCCTGCTCCAAGCTGACGAGCAAACTTTGAATTAACCGCTTGAGTGAAATCCGTTCCGGCCACGCGACCCATTTAGTCCGGACTGTACCTCGTAGTTGTAGAAAGGCTGGTGGATGACACCTGCAATTGCTCGACCTCCATGCGCGATACCAATAAGCACCGTCACATTATCCAGGAGCCCTTCAATCACAAAACAGCAAGATGTTAGTTTGAAGCAACCTATTGAAATGCATTTTTAGGATATTAGCATATATTATGGAAATTGCATGCTTGGAAAGAAAGGCAAGTACAATAAGCTGTAGGGAAGCGTCATTGTATATTATGAACCGCCAGGGTTCATCTGTCTAACGGTGTTTCGCACAAAGGGCTGTGCTGCAAGGCTGAGAGGTGTCCGACCCTTTGTTTGGTGTCTGGCCTCAGTGCAGTGATGGAGACACCTGGACGCTGAGGTCAGCAGAGGAAAAGAAAGAGAGGGAGGGATGGATGGAGAGAAACAGGCGGAAGACGAAGGGATACACAAAGACGTGAAAGACTGCTGGGTTTTTGGGTGTTACCACTTTATTTTCATGAGCCGTTCTAATTTATTATTACTAATAAAAAGAAATACAACTTATTGAATCCATACTAATCAGTTACTAATTCACAACAATCACATTATTAATATTTTAACATAAAAGGTGTTTTTTCTTTTGCTATTTCTTCAATGCCTAACACGTCATTCCTACTGTTGACTTTAAACATACGGGAACAATGGAGAAGGTTGCACAGCGTTGATTAAAGTGAGAACACACTGCGAAGGCAGGACGTGGAATACGCAGCGACTGCATGTGCCCTAAAATGCCTTCGATAAGAGCTGGTTAAGTCATTTCAGGGCTAAACGCATTTGTTCGCTGGGTTTCTGGGCCAAAGACCATATTTAAGGTGCGTATTTGAAGAGCCTACCTTCAGTATATTCCTTTGTGCCATCGAGGGGATCGACCCACACGACTAGCTGAGATTAACAAACCAACAGAAGAAGTTCATTTTATTGATACAACAGCCCTGCACATCTTTGATACCAAATAATAAATAACATTACATTCTATTTCACAACATAACAGAGTAAAAAACGAAAAATGATTTGTGTTAGTGATGGAATTTACGGTTACCTCCTCCTCTTTGAGATCGCTATATTCTTCTGGGCAGGTCTTGAGGAGGATTTCCTCTGAGAGGCCGCTCTCGATGATTTCCTCCTTTATCTCCTCAGCTGGAAGCTCCTGGCAAACAAGACAAACACAACAATCAGGATTCCTCCTTTAAAGCTTAAATAAAACACCCTGGCATGATGGAACGACCCAATTCTACCAACACAACAAGCAAAGAGTCTGGTATGTGCCACCTCCTCTCCAATGATGGTGATTTTTGGGAAACGTCTGGACAGTGATGCACAAATGCTCTGCTGTGCCAGTCTGTCTGCCAGCGTCTGCAGGTCGTCGGCTCCAGTCTGTGCACGGACACACGGGAATATATAACTGAATTAAATAAGCAGGACGTCCGCGGCTATTTGCATTTCATCTTTTGATTTAAACTCAATCCCGACCTTTTCCACGATGCCGAGTTCTCCACTGTGAAGGACCTTCCTCACGATGGCCCCGGCCCTTTCGGACACCGTGTAGCAAGAGGCCACCAGCCGCATGAGCACAGCAGGACTTCCAGACATCGCTGAGACGGACGGACGTCAGTGAACACAATTCAAAAAACAAAATCACCAACATCCAATTTCAATGACCATGCACCACCGAGCGCGAGCGGCAAACACCTGCACTTTGGGCTAACTGTTGGTAGCTAGAACATTGCGACGTAATAATATTTAGAAATATCGAGGAGAAACGTGGTGGGGGCGATGTTGGGTGAATACGTACTGATTGTAACAGCGAGAGGAAGACAGCGAGCAGCTTTCACTGATTCAATCTGTTGAGTTTTGACGATACCGGAAGAGCAAGACTTTTTCTTCCAAAGAGCTCAAAATGAATTGTCAAGATAGTTACCTGACCAATCAAAATACTGATCGTGAGCTATTGCAACTAGCGAGCCCCTCGTGATGTTCAGTGACACACAAACTAATTGTGTGAAACGTACAATAAGAACTTCCACTTCAGTTGACCTATTATTCTTACAAAAATCGAAACGTGTTCCTCTATTTTTGGTCCTTGCTTAACAGAACAACGAGCAAATCTACACTTCTAATGGCTTTTAGGCGAACGCGGAAGTGGTTGGGACGGAAGGCTCCAACTGTGTTAGTTAACGAGAAAGATATGTGATTTCCGTTGAAGCGCAGCATTTATTACTTTTATCATGTGCATTTCGAGCTGAGAATGAAACTCTCTTAAATCTTTTATCAAACCGTACTTTTTTATTATGAAATAAGCCTGCCAAAAAAGAATATGCGATTGATGTTTTTGTAATTTCAGATCAGAGATAACAAGGCATAGAGATAACATGCAACACTACTTTACACATTGGAATTGTAAAAGCCATTAATTTGAAGTAAGGAACATCTGTTCGAATATAAATTTCAAAGCTGCCTGCCCTTTAACCTTTTAGCGGATTAGACTCAGAATGACCCACTGTTTCTCTCCAGTTTCCTCACCATTCCCCCATTTCTAGTTAAAACTTTTGTGACGAGTTTAATTCAATTCAATTCATTTATTTTGTATAGCCGAAAATCGAAAATTACAAATTTGCCTCAGAGGGCTTTACAGTCTGTACACATACGACATCCTCCGTCCCAAAACCCTCACATCGGCACAGGAAAAAAAAAAAAAAAAAAAAGGAAAACCCTTCCATGGGGAAAAAAGGGAAGAAACCTCAGGGAGAACGTCAGAGGAGGGATCCCACTCTCGGGATGGACAGATTACAATGGATGTCATGTGTACAGTTAGTACACATGACATATTTGATGTCGCATAGCCATCTTTCACAAACAGAACTGCTTTTAAGAATAGAAACATGAATACGTCTGTAGGTAATCCAATCTCCATTTAATAAGTAATACAGAAATAATAAACGAAAAACATGAATGTAAATCCCTGTATATTCCTGAATAAGATTAACATTTTTGTAGTGTGATTATTCAATACAAATGTGAAGCCAGATGTCCGTAACCCATCTCTCCCTCCAGCTGCTCGGCAGTGAGAGCGCCCAGCAGCGGCTGACAGTCCGGGTTGAAAACAGAATAAGCGCTCATTTCTCCAGGCTGACGGGCGGCCGGGCTCCGCAGTCCTTCGTAGAGCCAATAGAAGAGGGAGACGACAAAGAAGGGCAGGCCAAACTCGATTTCGACAAACAGGCCGAGCAGCACCAGCCACAGCAGCACTTTGAGCAAAGTGAGGTTCGTGAGGACGAATCGCCTGGAAGCCAGCCACCTTCCCAGAGCGCTGTCCAGCAGCCAGTCGCTACGGTCCTGTGGAGATGACACAGCGGTGAGTTCAATGTGCTCAAACCATTCCAGCATCACAGGTGTACTGCTCACAGTGGGTCGGGGCCAAAAATCAAGCCTCTCTCTGTAGGAACCTTTTCAATGCCGAAGAAGGACTTGCTGCTTGCTGGTGTGCAGGAATTTAATACACCTACAACTTGTTCAAATTACACCCGTAGATAAGAGCAAAGGGGGTCAAACAAAACAAGCCATTTGGGTTTGAGTAAATAAACGGGCAATTTTCACTTGTTGTACTGGACAGATTAATCAATGATGACCTTTTTTGTGTGTCTGTGTTTAACATTGTGAGGATATGTGTTACATTGTAGATCCATAAATAATATACAGTCTTACATTTGCAAATACCATTTGTAGACAATCCGACATCCATTTAACAAGGGATACATATTAATACAGAAGGGCAAAGCAGCGGTAAGCGTTGTCTGACCTGTATTACAGGGGTCTGACGCGAAGCCCTGATGCGTTCTGCTTCCGGGGTTTGTTGACTGTCAGTTGTTTGTGTTGTTGTTGTTGTATCGACCTGAGTGTCCGTGTCCGCTGCTGTCTGTGCTTTGCACAGGGGACCACCGCCGTCGTCCTTCTTCATGGTGCTTTCAGCCTGCCGTCTGGCTCTGAACTCTGCCAGCCTGCGCTCCATCGACACGTCACTGACGCTAAGCTAACGTATGTGCGCGTGGCACAAGAGACGCTGGCACCACTTCCCCAAAAAACTCTTGATTTCACCGTAACTTCGATGCAGCTTGTTGTCAAAAACAATTAAGCCCACTGTCATTCACTCATACGTTGACACCACCGGTATTTTGGTGAGCTCCCATCTTGCTACTAGCTTCGCGAGGCATTTGTTTACATTTGGCTTCCGCGCCTACCGGAAAGAAGGACGTTATGTCGCAAAGTGCTGTCGGTTGTCGTAAAGGACTCCGTTTCCCAGCTGCTATTCACAGGTTTGTTACAAGCTAGTTCTTCCACTTGTGGTGAGATTCCCAAACTCTTCATTTTATCGATCAGTGGATTGGTTCAGGTATATGTCTTTTAGCTGTCGGTTAGCCTAGCTAAGCTAACGTTGTCTTGTATTAACATGTAAGGGTATCGATCAAACGGTACCACCGTCCAGCTCATCACAACCAAACTGCTCGTGGAAGACTTCTTAGCGTTAGTTAGCTCCACTAGCTTCAGTGAGAGTGGAACTGTATGAATATTACATATTACACAAGGTGGAATTCTTATATTTTTAACTTTGTGACCATTAAGCAACACGTAACGTTGCCTGGGACAAGGCTGTCTTCAAGCAGTGTATACAGATCTAACACTATAATTATATAATAGCAGTATATAATTATTGCCTTTATTTATATTTATGTATATATGTAAACGCTAGATATGTTAGGTATAGCTCACCTAGACAATTGCATGCCCAAATATCATATCAGCGTGATTTGAGTCATGTTTTCAATGTCGTGGACAAAACAACCAAGAAGGGCTGCTAACAGTAATTCCTATAAATTAACATATTAATAATAATGAAAATAATATGATTATAATTGTTTAAAGTATCAGAACGTTGTGCAGAATGTTTATTAATCGTTATCAGGTGGCAGACTGTGTCCAAAACTCCAACATATTCAGTCTACAATTATGTGTCGTGGAAAGAAACTAAACTAAAAATTAAAAAAAAGTTTTGCTTAAATAAATGAAATGATTACTAATTCTAAGGACATGTAGAACATTTTTCTTTCGATTGGCTCAGTCCTTCTTTCAGTTCTACGACTAACCAAGTTTATTTCATTTTCTTTACCCAACACAGAAGGTATTGCCGTGTTGTGATTGAATTAGTCTATAACGGTAAAACCATCGAGTGTCTTTCTCCCATGTTTATATAGACGTACGTCCTTCTCTCTGCAGACATGGCCTCCGCTCCAGCACAGCAGCCCACCCTTACTGTTGAGCAGACCCGAGGTGAGGACAACGGATTATGGTCTAATAAATTCACACGTTCCTTATTGTCTTTCTTATGTGGCCCATTATTGCTTGTAATGTGAATCTTACTCTTTGGATGGTTGGGATGTTTGCACCTATAAAGTGAAAGTTCAGTTTATTTGTATTTCTCATTTCCCATCTTTATATAATTAATAATACAATCCCTTCAATTGCATTTACACACTGTAGGAGCAGAGCAGCGTCTGAACGTTTGCATGTTTCCTCCACAGTGGTACTGAGTGAGGTGATCCAAGCCTTCGCAGCACCAGAAAACACTGCGAGGATGGAGGAGGCTCGGGAAAGCGCCTGTAACGACATGGGCAAGATGCTGCAGCTCGTGCTTCCTGTGGCCACGCAGATTCAACAAGAGGTCATCAAAGCGTACGGCTTCAACAACGAGGGAGAAGGTAAGCATAAGCCAGCCTTTTCCACTCAGATATCCACACCATACACATGTATTCCATTTATTGGACAAAGCAACAGAGTTCACAATATTAATTCAAAACGTGATTCTCTAACAGAACTTCGAGGAACTGTTCAGTACAGCTTAGTCATTTAACGTTGATGCATTATTTGAAACTTCATATTGTTCGGATTTGTTGTTTAATAATTTCCAAACTCCCGTATACTTTCCTCTAGGAATATATATGGAGGTACCTCTGCACTGCACTCTATAGGGTTGATGAAACATTGATCCACTCCACCATTCATTCACTCCAACATCCATTCACTCTGCTCCACTTTCAGGTGTCCTGAAATTTGCCAGATTGGTGAAGATGTATGAAACCCAGGATCCTGAAATTGCAGCCATGTCAGTTAAACTGAAATCTCTCCTCCTTCCACCACTGTCAACACCACCTATAGGAGGGGCCATTCCTGCTTCTTAGGACTTCTTTACATACATTGGTCCACTGCAAGGTTACTCTCAGAGAATTATTTGGGTCCACATAAAACATTGTAATGTAATTCCAAAATGTTGTGCATCATATGGTTTCAAACTCAGCACACTATCACGTTCCAACAAAGATGGAACTTTCCTTATCTGCATTAATGTTTGATTGAAAATTTCCTTGCAACATTTTGTTAAATTATTGCCTTTAAAATGTTTCAGTATTTGCCTTCAAAATGTTTCAATATTTATTTGTTATGACCATTTTCTTAAGATTGTCCCCTTACAATCATTTCCTTCAATGCAATCTTTACATTTTTAGTTTTAACATTTTTATATGCTGTCAAATGTCCCTTTTCTGTTCTACATTAAAACGTTTTCTGTGAATCTTTGTTATTGATAAAGAAGGTGGGGGAAACATCGTCCATATACATAACTTTATTACTGCAATAAGGCATTTGGAAACAACAGTCATATGCTTAAGATGTTTCTTTTAAATACTGAAGCGCTTACACACATTTACATTGCCTGACGGATACTGTTTACAGTTAAAATTACACTATTCCAACAATAAGAAGCAGATTTTAAGTCTGTCCACTTTAGGCTTTAGGTATGGGTGCATACAGACATGACACTGTAAAACAGCAGTAGAAGTTCACGATAAAAACTATTGTGGTCAAAATAAATAAAACTTAAAAAGTGTCCCAGATTTGAAAGTCATTAAAGTAAAAATGCAAAAAAGCAAATTTACATTATTCAAAGTGATCATTGAGTTTTAAAAGGCAAACCGTGCAAAACCAGTGCACCCAGCAACCAGAAACAAATGTGACAGTGCTTATTCAGCCTGTGTATATCTGAAATAATTTAGTGTCCCGTGTGTCATCAGCAAGCAGCTCTCTGGATCTGAATAGATGGGATGTAGAAAAATAGAAAAACTCTTAACTCTGATTAAAAACATATCATAAAGTTGAATATTGCTGACACATTTAAAATCCTGGCCGTTTCAATTTACTACAAGTAGGACTCCCTCTTGTGATGGACAGCTGTTCAGTCCTTAATTCACAATCATGGAGAAGAACCAGACTGAAGAGCAACAAGAGAAACCGCCTTCACATCTCAAAGTGACGGAAAATGCTTTCGACATAACCAAGGACCTGCTGCCAGTCCGGTCCATTGGCCTTCAGCATCTCCTCCGCCGTCTGTCACCGAGTCAACATGTAAAGAGAACATGAAGAAATCGGTGGACACAGCTGGTCTGGGTTGCAAAACTTTGACAAATGTCTCATGTAAAATGTCTCACCAGTGTGGCTTTGATTCCCACTCGCTCTCCCGTCTTAAAAGCGAGGTCCAAATTTTCCTTCTGTAAAAACGCGAGTCAGATGTATCGTTTTTACATAAGAAGGGGCAAATTTTTACAGACGCAACTGTCAGTGATTGACTGTGGTAAAACTGAACAAAGCACACCGTCGACCACTTGCGCAATCGATGTTTTTTTTTATTAAAAAAAAAATGAACAGCCACCGTTTTACCTGGTCTGCTGGGTTGAGGGCGTCGTACGGGATGACGTTTGGCAAATATGTGTGATAAACAGCGCAGAACGCCAAACCGTCGTCCCAGCTGCTGCTGAAGTTTGTGATTTCAATATTCTGCGAGAAAAACCATACTCGATTAAAGACATGATATGACTGATAATAATGTATTGGTTTCATCCTCCGTTCTAACCTTATAACTCCTGGTACGACTCTGGCACCAGCGCAGCAGAGAGTTTCTTCGGGAGCCGCCGTGACGCCTCAGCAGACGACTGAAACCATCCTGAGGTCTGGGAGGGCGAGAAAAGCTTCAGAGAATAAAAATTGAAATACTTTACATTAAAAAGTTAAATAGCACATAATGAGAAGAAGAACGGTTTCTGCTCATTTAACATGTGACTTCAAACATGGATATTTCCTTTACAAGGAGACTTTAGTGTCTGTTTTGATGTCATTCTGAACAAAGAAAAGGAATTGTTAGTTACTTGGTGGAATCTGGGCTTTGGTCCTCATCCTGTTTTCCTGCAAAAGAAAAAAGGAGTCACAATGATACAGCCGTGCACCTGCAAGGCTGTCTAGATAAAATAAAGGCAGTTTGGTGGGTTCAAAGCTCACCTGTGTAAAAGCTGGACCAGCTGTCCTGCCGCTGTAATATGCGGTCGCTACTTCTCTCTTTTAGTGGCTCTTCTTTCTGGAATGTTCAGAAACATTGTTTTTATACACCTTCTGTGCTCCAAGAGTAAGACAAGTGTTTCCCACCTACGAACATTTGTTATCAAATCAACACGTGTGGTACCTTGCAGAGCGGCAGTGTTGTGCTTCTTGAGGTTCCATTGTCACCGGAGGAGTCCGATGGGAGTGGGAGACGAGAGAGACTCCTGCAAGACAGTTTTTGTACGTTTCACAACGCTGTCATCGGTCAACAGTCAATGTGTTGTGCCGGTTCATGTGGACTCACCAAGATCTTTCAGATAGCATCACAATCCTCCGAGGATCCCTTCCATCTTTTTTCTTCCCCATCATAGCCAAACTACGAAGGTATCCCTCCGCCACGCCCTTCCCAGTCAGCTGCATGCCCCCATCTGCGTCCTCGGGGTCGTGGCCCTCGACATCAGCTTCCACCTCTGCATTCGTTTGATTGTCCTTCTCAACGCTTTGGACTGCAGCGTCGGTTTCAACTGGCCCCACAACTGCCTGTGCTCCCGTCCCGCGTCCCTCCACGGAGTCTCGTCGCTCCGTCAGCTGATCACACTCTGTGGTACGTTTGACCTCGCGAGTGGCCCTCAAAGCGTCCAGCTCGGCTCGATCCAGTTCCCGCTGCCGGGTGAGTTCAGCGAGTTTGCAGCAGGCGTCTCTGTGCTCGTCCCGGAGACTCTCCAGCTCTCCCCGCGTCTCCTTCTCTCCGCGGAGGGCGTGAGCCAGCTGCTCCTCCACAGCCCCCTGGGTCTCCTTGAGCACACCAAGAGATTGTTCGGACTCCACCCGCAGCCGGTCAGCCACAGACACCGCTACCTGCAGGTCACACTGGAACTGATGCCACTCCAACCTCTCCGCCTGTCACGGAGGGCAACAGAAAGAGAAAAATCTAAAAATGTAGAGCTGCTTGTTGTCGATGTGGCTCGAAAATAAAGCCCAATGAACCTGGTGGGTTTTAGGCCATTGGTTCATGCAGCTCAAAACTCACCCGAAGTGTCTCCCGAAGTGTGTCCACCTCCTCAACCAGCTCATCTCTTTCTGTTATCAGGCGTCTTAGCAGCTCTGAAAAAGCAAGTTCAAAACCGAAAAACACACACGGTTGAGTGGCAATAAATTCTGGGAAATTCTCCTGGGAAAAGGATCACCGATTTAATATTGCAGAAAATAACTTAAAGACATCTCAGGGTACCGGAGTCCCTCCCAGTCTCCAGCTTCTCTGTGTCTCTTAGTGCATGTTGGTGCGTTTGAACGTGCCTGACTGGTTAGCTCGCCATCGCTCCTATTTGCTCTTCTCATACAGCTGATATTGCCATTTGTGACACTTTTGGAGCTGGCACTGCTAGCCAATTTATTTAGAAAATAGGCGACACTGAGCTGATTAGCTTACTTTTTTCTAGTTAACATCATAAACCCGAACTTTAAAAAGTATCTCTAACAAGAAAACAAGAGCATTGGAGGCAAAGGACCTACCTACTGCTCCCGTGGTTACGTCATCGTTGGGGGCGAGGCACAGCGAGGCCCTGTAGTGCTCCATCAGACTGAGTAAAACCAGGTTCATCTCCTCTCCCACCCGCTCTGCTGCAGCCTGCGGCTCCAGTCCGCTGTCCCGCTCCAGCCAGCTTTGCTCTGAAGCAGAGTCACCGGACGGGGGGAGGAAAGCCGGGCTGCCCGGGCTGCCTGCTGCCTTCCCACGCATCACCGCTGCATCGCTCACGTTTGTCTCCGGGGCGACACCGTCGACGCTGATCACAGCCCATTCAGAGGGAGCCGACGGGTTCTGCGTCCAGTCTGCAGGAGGAGGGGTGACGGAGAAGGTGGTGGTGGTGGAGGAAGCTGAAGAGGATAAGGCCATAGCAGTGAGCTCTGCCTCTGAGGGCGTGGTAGGAGGCGTGTGGAAGAAATCTAATGGAGAACCTGAGAGGGGAGGGGGGGGAGAAATGTTAAACTGATGGGAAGCACAAAAAAAGAAGAGCACCAGAGAAATAAGAGGATAATAGGACGTCCTAGGCCTTACAATGACATAATAGGAAACATTTAAAAAAATGCTGAAAGCAAAGCTCCTTCTTCTTCTACTGGAAGATTCATGCACTGCCTCCTTATTTACTGTCCTGTAATGCTGACTGATGCGGCAGAACGTCTCTGCTGCCAATGTCTTGGCAGGCGCACACACACACACACACACACACACACACTGTTCCCCCATGTGGCAAGATGAGGAGGTTTTACCATGTTTCAGTCTAACAGCTGCTCTCAGTGCCACCGCGAGGTGATTACATCAATCACCAGTGCTGCCAGTGTTCTGCATAAATCATGAACAACATTTTTTTTGTGGGACGTTTACCGATATTCCCACTCCTTTACGTATTGCTGTAAGACTATTTCTTTCGGTATGTGTCACGTCAAAAAATACATACAGCTTTTGGATTTCTCCATGACGCTGTATTACAGCAGGCTACAGGCCGGCTTCCACTTTTACCTCATATTCCCCCCCCCTCCCCTCCTTGCCCTTGTGTTGTGGTGCAGGATTCTGCAGACTCATCATTTCCTCAGCAGCAGCATGTCTGCTCAGCTACAGCAGAGGAGCTATTCTCATCCAGTAGCCCGCATACGAACAGCCACGAGACGGAACCAACTGTGAGAAAACTGGCCTGCGGCATCTCAAAAGCATGAGTATTCTAAATCCACTATAGTAATTTTAATCATTTAATAATGGAATATAAAAAGTGCCTGTGTATGTGTTGAGTGCCTCGGTCTTCATGTACCTGTAGGGCCATTGCTGTCTCTGCCAGTCTGGTTACCCATGATCCAGCTGAGGTGGGATTCTGGAGTGGCCACCTTTAGTGTCCTTCACTGCGTCCTCAGTTTTGTGAGGCCCGCTGCTCTGTGAACGGGAGGGAATAAATCCTTCATGAGAATGACTCACAGTTGGGAGGACATTTTACTTTACAAGAAACTGAGGTTATATTCGGATAACGTGGCTCACAGAACGAACCAATGTCTTACAGGACAATACATCAGTCATTTATACCAGTTTTCATTGACCATCTCCCAGCAGCCATCAATAAAAAGCTGGACAAATTACACAGCTTTTACATACATTTGACACGAAAACAATTAAATGTGTGTAGTTAAAATAATAACATCCTTTCTAACAAGGTGGCTCACCCGACAATTTGGGATTGCTGTAGTTATTGAAAAAAGAAGGTTACATTAAGCGGCACAACTAACCTCCAGATGTTGTTATCCAGGGAAACTTGTCATGCACATTATTTCCTATGAAGCAGAGATGAGTCACACTGCTCACTTCTGCACATTCTTTCTGCAAAGTATTGTGGCATAAACTACAACTGAAACCAGGTGTTTGAAATTAGATACAAAAGGTGTTGATGAATGAATTGTGCGCCGTATTAACCGGTCATTCTTATCGATTCCTAACATGTCATCATAATCTGCTGCGCCATATTTGCCCGCTTGTAGGGAGCCACGTAACATTAAACTGCCCGGTTGGTTAATGAAGTTTGGAGCCCACCCGCCCCCAAAAAACAACAATCCGTTGCGGGATGACTTCCTTTTGTTGAATGAACTATTTTAACTCTGACGCAGCATGTCCAACAAATGACACCGTTCCACTCCAGCTGCATTGACCTTACCTGCTCAGCCTGCCAGGTGGACCTCCGTCCTGTTCGATCTCCGGCCGTCCGGCGGGCTTCTTCTCGGGCTGCCCTCTCGCCCTGTGCGCCTTTTCTGCGTTACCGTCTCCCCCAATCTACCGGATGACGCCGTTTGAAATTACTCGGCAATCGTGATTTCCCGATATCCGATATTCACAGTTAAAGAAAGCCAGCTAGCAGCCAGCAGCCATCACCTCTAACCTGGGTCCGATTCCCGATGATATCGCTTCGCCTTTAAATCCAATGCGACAAAGAGAGAAGGAGGCAGAAACAGACTGCGCAGCGGCTGCACGTCGGATCAACGACATCACTTTTATTAATGGCAATATTTAAAGCACTTTGGAGACGTTTTCAACCTAAAGCAAGCATTAGAAGAAAAAAAACAGAATATATTTTTTACGTCAAAATTCGCTGGTGGGGAAACAGCGCGAGAGGCAGTTACACCTGCTGATTGCCTTTAAACGCAGGTGTGGTGGCACGCAGGTGCTCGGACGTGTGCGACTCCTCATAGCGGCTGAGGAAGGAATACAAGTAACATTCATGGGTGTCACAGAAATCCCAAATATGAAGACAAAAATATATATATCATTTAAATGCAAATAGCACAAAAATACTACAAAATGTATATAACAAGTGATGATGATGGAGTTAAAACGACGTTGCGAAATAATAAAATGTCAGCAACGCGGAGCATGAGCTTGTTGTGGTTTGAACATTCAGCACAATGGAGACGTACGGAGTTAATCTCTAGACTAGTCTCTTGTAGATTTTAATAAAAATGTGGATTACGTTTGGAAGTTCCAGGACCACGGACAGAGCACAGGGAAGAATAATGTCTGTAGCGTCCTCTAGTGGCGGAACTCAGTACTGACGCCGATTTTATTATTCTTGAATCGATTTTATTATTCTTAAATTGGCCTTTTTAATTAACAATACGAATCGTTAAAGAAATAAAATAAGAATCAAGCTTTTAACAGTATGAATCCATGTACGTTACAGCCTTTACTCATTGTGAATTCAATTACCTTGTTTAAGAAGACATTGTGAGGCATCATAAGTTTTTCCAAACCCTATGGGTCGATGGGGAGTAGTGTCACAATGTAAACTAAAATGTTGTAATTGTATAATGGCAGCGTTTACCTATGCAAAACGTGGTTACCATCATTAACACGCTGCAGTGTCTGACTTTTGATTTTTTATTATTATTATTATCTAATTTCTGCACTTTACCACAATTTGTCAGTGACCTCCTGTGTGCCACGTGTGCAGTTTCTTGGCATCAGACACACTAATCACACCAATCGCACTCACTTTAATTCCCATAAATAATATATCCAAGTTTAGGGAAATTTGAAACAAAGTTATCAAGCACAATTAGAGTATGTAGAACACATTGACTTGATTGATTTGATTTTCATTCATTTTGTTTTGCTGTTAAGCACTTTCTTACTTGAACATAAACAACAAAAATAAAGTTATTATATTACATATTGACTAATAAAAGTGCATTTTCGTAACTACGGGGAATACGACATTTTAAATGTTTGAACTGCTATTGAGCATCAATTCAACCATTATTCACTTAGTAAATTTTTTCATTTTTCTGTTTAATTTCCCATGTTAGGTTGTAGAGAAGTGTTACATTATCCTCTATAATAACATTAACAACAATAATGATCATTCATTTCCATTATATTATTATCATTATCAGTCTTCATTTGCGCAAAAGTCACGGGTTTAATATATAGACAATGCTGACTAATATTCAACTGTGACGCTGAAGAGATATACGTGCGCTTTTTCTTAAGTTACGGATTAAGCTGCGACGAGTGGATCACACTAAGTCAAGTTTTCACTTATACTGGATTTCTTTATTACTACCTCCCTGGATTAATCTTAGCCTGGCTGTTAGCTGCAAATAATAAATCACCATGGTTACATGGCTGGGTATGTTACAACATGCCACATTTATCAACAAATGGACTGTTTTGGCACGTTGATGTTTCATCGTACTTGTTACGTGTAGGATAGACATAAACTGACGACCCGGTTCATAAAATTAATAAAATGCATATAGTGTACACCCATGATTCTGAAACTGTGTAATCAATAAAGTAATGCCAATAACTGTAATCGAATAACATCAATGTACAGTTATGATTGTATGTAATGTAATTACCTTGAATGCATGCATGTAATACTCAATTTCTGTTTCCTTTTCTGAGCGCAGGTCACATGAAAAATGATCCTAAGATCCGTATCCGAAGACCCAGTCAAAATGAACGAATCATTTCTGTTTTCTCTACCAGTGCTGAGCCTATGCAGGTCACGTGAAAAATGATCTAAAGATTTGTATCCGGCAGATGAACGAATCGTTCACCTCCCGACCGAGTCTTCGGGTCAATGATTCATTCATCGTTCATTTTTCACGTGACCTGCATAGGCTCAGCACCACTTGGTTGGCAGAAGGATCAGTTTCCACGTGACCTGCATTCAATGAATCATTTCTGTTTTCTTGGCTGAGCCTATTCAAGTCCCGATGCGTGGCCACGAGAAAATGAACGAATCTTTTTTTGAGAGGACCGGTTACTCTCAAGTCCTTGTAAGGATTCGTTCAAAATGAACGAATCGTTCACAAACGACACATCACTATTCTCGAGTTCGCTGGTGGAGGCAACAGACAGGTACTGGGGGGTCAATGGGCCCTGGGGCCTCTTGGTTGCAAAGACCAGCGGCTCCTCAACTGTGATGTCCTTTTTACCACAACACCCGTTCTTTCTCTCTAACCCTAACCCTATTTAACCTTTCGATCTGCGATGCCCTTTGTCCGCCCAGCGTTTCTTCATTTTTGAACACAATGGACGCCACTTATCTATAGCAAATTGTAAATTGGCTTATTTGAGGAAATTACACTTGTTTCTTGCTCTTCTGAGTTTGTATCCCTATGGTTGAAGGCACTTATTGTAAGTCGCTTTGGATAAAAGCGTCAGCTAAATGACATGTAATGTAATGTAATCCGCCTTTTAGCCGGTTGAAATAAGGTCTTAGATGTTTAGACCTCATTTCAACCCGAAACTACGTCTTGAGCTCACTGGGTAGTATCACCATTGTAATTATTATTATCATAAATAGAAGTAGGCAACTGCGCTCCAGGAGCGGACTTGGTGAAAATGGCGCCTGGCATCGGCTGCCTCCGCAGGCGCAGCTGTGCGCTCGCTGACCACATCAGGGCATCATTATAATTCCTCTCCGGAGAATGGAGTCAGCAGCTGCATCGGGACTTGCGTCGGGCAAGAAAACCCACACAAGCCGCCGCCGCCGCCGTCATCATCATCATCATCATCATGGGAACCTCCGGCCGCTCTGTCGCAGATGTTTCTAACCGACGAGACCATGCACATCCTCCCGGGCACCAGGAGACGTGATCGTCTCTCACTTGTTTACCGTCCGTTCACGATCGAAGAAGAAGTGACCTTCTCCGAGGAGGAAGATGTCAGCGATGAAAAAGGTAGGAGGGAAGAAAGCACCGCGCAGTGTTCGTGCACGTTGGCTGCTGCTGCTGCTGTTGTTGCGCTTCGCGGCGTTTCTCCTCGGCCAGGTGCGTGTCGCACTTCACGTCACGTTGAAAGTGCAAAATGTCAGAAAGTTGTGCAGCGCATGAAATGAAAAGACTCTTTGCACTTGTCGGGGTGTTTCCCGGGCAGATTAATCGATACCATTCAGATACCACCGAATGATGCATGACGCGTGGGTGAGGTGCGGGGAGAACCTATAGGGGCCTACATGTGTTTGGAGGTGGAGAGGAGGCTGTGGGTGCCATTGTTTCTCCCTCAAGTTTCTTCTGTCTGTACACACACACACACACACACACACACACACACACACACACACACACACACACACACACACACACACACACACACACACACACACACTCCCATCGTGCTGCTCCTCTCCATTCACTCAATGTGTATGTGCGTATGTGCATGTCTGGAGTATTGTACTATATCTGTCATCCACCTTTTCATCTGTCACAGGTGTTACCATGGCTACTACAGACTCACTGCTGTCTTTTCTTTGAGAAGGACTCAGGTAAGAGATGGGAGGGGCGATCGAGTGAAAAACAGTGAGGGGGGTACCGTTCACTTCTGTGGCTTTACAGTAGCAGGGATCTGAAGGAATGAGATGCTACCGGGTTCTTTCAAGATTAGGATGAGATCATTTTGGCTTCCTGTAGTTGTTTTGGGGGTCTGTTAGTCTAGTGGTTTATCTTTTCCTTATTGTCAAATAATAACTCACCAAAGAACAAATCAATCATGGTTTTTGCTTTTTCAGCCAGCACCCAAAATGTTTCCGTTACCTACATTTTTGGAGCCGTCACTGAGCCACACTAATGACATTTTCAATTTAATAAACACAGGTATTAAAAGTTCTGACATATTTCATGATCTAAAGCCACGTATTCGGCTTGTTACAGACTGTTCGAGGTGCTGAATGAGGATTTGTTTGAAGGTCTACATCACAATCATGTCAGTGCAGGTGAATCCACCCAAACGTGTAGTTGTATCTCGAAAATCTTGAACATACAAATTCGTAACAATACATAGGAACTGGCGGTGGTTAACCACGCCCCTTGAGTGAACAACATGGCGGACCATGTCGGATTCTTGAGTGAACGTCTCTCCGCCATGTTGGATTTTTTCAGGGGGTTAGGGTTAGTATTCTATTCTTACAAGTTAACATTGGTTTCTCGTTAAAAATGCAATGATAACACGTTTATTTTACATCGTTAGACTGTGTGTGTTTACGGGGTGCAGGTCCTCATTCGCTTTGAATAGGGTGACGTCATCAGTTGCAGTCCGTATTTATTTCATATGTATCACTACGAATTTGTATGTTCAAGATTTTTGTATACATTTTTACGAACAGGTTTTGGAGATCAGGCTGCTCAATCTTGTCTTTTTTAACAATTCAACATTCTATTGTTTATTAAAAGTTATTAAAGCGAGCTGCAGAAAAATAGTATACAAAAACGGACTGACACATTTTTGGTTGGCTCCATCGAGTTCTTTTTGTGTCCACCTGATAAATGTTATATATACTCTACTTTTAGTTCTCCCCATCAGCTGTTGGGAGAAAATCTGGACTGGACCACAACAGTAAAGCTGTGGGCTGTAAACAACGAGATGTCGAACTGCTCCAGTTAGAGATTTAAAGAAAACTTTAATTGGAGTTATCACTATAAGCAACAACGTTCACACACACACACACACACACACACACACACACACACACACACACACACACACACACACACACACACACACACACACACACACACACACACACGCACACACACACACACACGTGATGATGAGATGAGATATTTATCTACCATCCAGCCAGATTCATGATGGGAAATTATATAAACAGACAGTCAGAGATGACAAATCAACTGTGCATAATGAGGTGGAGGTGTTGTGTGGAATATTTGGTCACGGAGCAGAAAGGAGATAGCGGTTAATTAGGTAAACTCTGCCCGGCTCTTTTCCTCAGCAGAGGTCGGAGCTCTGAGATCCATCCAAAGGAAAAACACTCCAGGGGTCAGCTGCCTTTCTCCTGGCAATTTTTGGCATTCTAGAGGATCAAATACTGGCTCACATCAGGAAAAACATCAAATACCATCACTTCCACTGTGATGCTTTTGAAGCCAAAGGCCAAGACAAAATCATAAAAGAGACATGTTACATTTTGTAATTTTATCTGTGACCTGGTTATAAATATCTCAAACTGACACAAAGTATTAACAAGATTTTTGAGACAAGAGAACAGAACAGGAGCATAATTCACCAAAGAACCTCACGTTTTAAGTCACATTTGGCTATTTTTGCAGTGAAGCTTTCCCTTTTATCATTAACGATTTTTGCAAATTCAGCCCGACATTAATCGTTGCCTTGTGTCTTTAGTGCAGCAGTGTCGTCCTAAATCGCAACACCATTATTACACAAATGCTGTAGGATCTCAACTGTCACAGCATTTGCTCAAAAAAGATCAGACGGTAAACAGTATGTGTTAATTATGTTCTGAAAATGTCTTTTCAAGCATAATGAATAGGCCGACCTTGGAGTTTCGACACACGTCAGAGATTATCTGCGAGTTAATCGTGTGTAGGGTCCTTCTGTACTTTTACGGGCTTCGTCAGCACAAAGTTTCCAGGTGAAGTAAATGAGGAGGAGGGAACATCTCTGCTTTTGTGATGTGCACAACCTAAAGAATTGTTCTGCTTTTTTTCTCCTTTCTTTATCAGCCCTCCGGAGCTCTTGATCTTACCTTGCTCATCATTTTCTCAAGGTTGACGCAGAATGTTAATGAGTGCGTGGACTGGATGATTTTAAGGAATGTAAAGCAAGGAGGAGCATTTCTGCTGCTTATTGCCTTTTATGTGGATGCGTTAAAGCTTTAAAAATGAACACTTATAGTTTGTGTTGCTTTAAATGTTTTTTTTAAATCTAGAACCCAAATTACGGCACAAATGTGTGAATGCACTTATTGTACGTCGCTTTGGATAACAGCGTCCGCTAAATGACATGTAATGTAATGTAATGTAATCTCAAAATGTCCAAAAGCACTCCAGGTGGGTTTCACACCACCAGGTGGAGCTCTTTACACGACTGCGCTTCAAAACGACAGGCCTGATGGTGCATTTCAAAAACCGACCATTTCAGAATGCGTTACGTTATCCGTTACTGAGTGCTTTTGAAAATCTTTGCAGGCTCTCAATAGGATGTGTCATCCGCAGTGCAAGGTTAAATATGTTAGACGTGAAAGCAGAAGGAATCACCGGAGGACGAGTCTCTCTCCTGTTACCTTGGCAGCTCCGGTGTTGTGCCAACGCTCTTACACAAGTACGCACATATCATTTGGGTTTTTATTTTGGCGCAGTTTAGGGAATTGGAGCAGTGGTCTTGCAAACCAGAGCAGCTGGTTTCAAATGGAGAAATTACGATGTGGATGGGGTTGACGAAAAAAACCCAATGGGACATCTAACCGGATATATACATGCTGTTAATAACATACTAATGACCTAATAAGGATCATGCAATATCAGTCCACTTTGTGTTGCTGTCAGTCAGTATGTAGTAGAATGATAGAAGTGGAGATCTGCTGCTCTATGGCAGTGACTATCCATCATGTTTGTTTAAAAGTTGTAATGTAGAAAAAAATGACAAGGAAACACCGCGGCATCTACGTTCAGACGTAGACAAGGTTTTACATTGTTGTGCGTTAGCTTTGTGTTTCAACCTCCTTGTTTTCCGTCTGCGTCAGCCATGGCCGCCGAGTCTTTTTTCATCTGCTGAAGGAGCGCTAATATTTCTCTTGAGAAGCAACCCCACTCCTTCAGAATACCAATAAGTCTTACAATGGACCCCAAATCGATATGATCCTTCCCAAATCTGTATTCATTCCTCTTTCCCGATTGTCTCTTAACCTTAAGTCTCTACTGTGCGGCAGAATGTGAGGGGAATGATAGTCTTCTGTAATTGGCTTGTATCTCGTGCAGACAAAGTGGTACAATCGGTTCTGACTTGCCTCCTGTTCTTCGCTTTTGTGCGTTGATTGTATGCCATTTAAACACCAGGCACATGGCCTAAAAAATGATCTCGGTGACGTCGGCAGGGTCCCAACCAGAGCAGGAACATCCCTCTCCCCTTCTGTCAGACGAGTGATGTCATCAAAGGGAGAGTGCGAGGTTGGCTGAGGCTTCATCGAGCTTGACGTTTTACCACCGTTGGAACCGGTCGTATGACCACACGCACCAGTCAGACACGGAGCATGGATAACATGACAACACGCCTGTGACCGGTCATAAACCGCCGTCGAGGGGGGAACAAGGGACGTGAGGCAAAGAGCACACAGAGGGATGGAGCTTAAACCCAGAGGGGGGGAAGAATGACAGCGTGAGTGTGCATGCTGATGGGCATAGCAGCGCGTTGAGCGACGGAGCTGCAGAATCCCGAATCCAGCACGCGGAGACTCCGTGTCCTTGTTTTGCGGCGCTCTTTGGGAGCAACATGCAGCTCGCGCCGCTGCCTCGCACTGCTGCAGTGGAGGAGTAAATGCGGAGCCCAACACTGCTCCAGGTGATCCACAGAAGCCCAGCCTGGCAGACTGCTCCATCAGCCTTCCCTCTCCTCCTCCTCCTCCTCCTCCTCCTCCACCTTCTCATCCACCTCCACCTCCTCCTCCTCCTTCTCCTCCTCTGTCAGTGCTCCATTATTTTGAGGGCTTTGGAAAAAATAAGAAAGGAGCAGAAAGACAGAGGAAACAGCCTGCTTTCACCCGGCGCTCTCAGATGTGAAACACGTCTGCATGACTGTCCACCGCTTCCCTCTCACCGCGTGAAGACGCGCCGCGTATGTGCTCCAATGTGTCCGGAACATAGACTTGCAGCAAGGTAAGAAGTCTTAGACTTATTGGGGGTGGGGGGCATATCAAGTCTTTGCTTTCCTCTTGAGACATTTCCTGCAGAACTGTTACTGGCCTGTGTGTGTGTGTTCAAATTGAACAGGTTGATGAGAAGTTGGCACAGCAGATAAGGTAATCGGTATTCACCGCAACGGATAGAAATACGCTCACGGGGAAAGATCTCGGTCGAACACACGTCGTCAGTTTTGTAGAAAAAGCCCCTCATCTCGCCTTCAATCACAGCTATCCGTGCCAGTGTGAGTGTGTGTGTGTGTGGAATCCAGCAGGGTAGGAGGGATGCTCCACAAAAAGGCTTCTCGACGGGCAGCAAGGGGATTTTCGTCCAAACAGCTTTTCATCTATCTTCTTACGGCCGCTAACATCGGGACAATGTCTGGCTTCAAAATGACTGCCTTCTAATTGTGTTTGATTGTAAAGGAGAAAACGGTCTTCCTGTCAATTTATGTTCGTGCCTTATTAGTCACAGATAGAGGGAATTCAAGACAGTACGAGGAAAGGGGAGATGAGGATAACAGCAGCATGCAGATGAGGACAGAGGTTTGAGGGGGTGTTGAAGGAGAACTTACTCCATCACTGTGATTCCTCAAGCCTGCTAGCCGGCTGAA